AGTAATGTTATCTACTTTATTTATATCTCAGTTTCGTGTTATCATTATCATTATATACTCTGAACCGTGTACTCAAGGACCAAGTATCGTTTTATTTTGCGTATAATAAACAACATTAATCGCTTGCTTTCTACCATCTTTCCCAAATTTTATATTTTAACGCATCGTAAACCGAATGGCTACAAACGCATATAGCGGTCGAATAAAATTGTTTTAGACATAGAATTTTTCTGTAACATATACAGGATGTTCGGCCACCCATGGGAAAAATTTTAATGAGTGATTGTAGAGGCTAAAATAAGACGAAAGTCAAGAATATCAATTTGTTAATGGAGGCTTAAAAAGTTATTAACTTTTAAAGTTCCGCCCATTCTGAATTTTTTTCTCGATAGTGGGTAGAATTTCGGGGGTATGTCCATTCACAAAAAATGATTGTAATTGACCCCCGGAACGGAAAATAATTTTTCCAGAACGATTTGAAATTTTTTTTTCCATCGAAAAATTTTATACCTTCTCGAATTTTTTTCTAGAAAGTGGGTAGGAATTCGGGGGTATGTCTATTCACCAAAAATGATTGTAATTGAGTCTCGTAACTGAAAATAATTTTTCCAGAACGATTTGAAATTTTTTTTTCCATCGAAAAATTTTATACCTTCTCGAATTTTTTTCTAGAAAGTGGGTAGGATTTCGGGGGTATGTGTAATGACCAAAAATGATTGTAATTCACACCCGGAATGAAAAATAATTTTTTTAGAACGATTTGAAAATTTTTAATTTTGTCGAAAATTTCACACCTTCTCGAATTTTTTTCTCGAAAATGGGTACGATTTCGAGGATATGTCTATTCACCAAAAATGATTGTAATTCACCCCCGGAATCGAACATAATTTTTTTAGAACGATTTGAGATTTTTTAATTTAATTGTTAATAACTTTTTAACGAAGTCTCCATCAACAATTTGGTATTCTTGATTTTCGTCTTATTTTGGCCTCTAGAATCCCTCATTAAAATTTTTCACAGGGGCAACCGAACATCCTGCATGAATAAACAAAAGTATACTAATTTTTCACTGTTCGTTAAACTTTCAAATAACTGTATTGAAAAATGATGAAAATACAGCGGAAACAAAAATTTCTTTTACAGAATGGAATGTTTCGCTGATGAACGAATAACATCTAACTGTTCGATCGATCGAACATAACGATTCGACATACCTTGGTTTTGATCGTCATCTATTAATCGAATAACATTTGGCCGATCTCTGCACCTCGCCACATTACGTTTAACTGAATAACGTTCGACCTAATGCTTGTTTCACTGCCAACGTGCATACGTAACGTTGAAGCTGGCATCAACAAACATAACCTCGGTATAGTGTACCAGTTCCCTTTCGTGTTTTCGTTCGTACAAAATTTACGTCGATGCATCGAGCACGATACATTTCTCGACAAGAAGAACTTCATTTCACAAGTATGGTAATAATAATCTGCCAATCACGTTTGTCGACATCTGTGAACCAGCGGTGAAGTTCGATACGTTTTCCGAGTACAAGGTCGACCTGCCACGTCCCTGAGTATCTTTTAACGAAGTTTAATTTTAAGTCGAAGCATCGACCAGGCTTAGCTAATACGTACTGATAAATTTACCAGCGTCGCTAGAAGGTTCGACGACCTCTCCGCGTATGCTTCGAAACATTTTTCGACGGTTGTTACAATCGTGGCAACGAATTCCAAGAAAAAGCTATGTTAATTACCGAAGAATGACAAATCGTAAACGTTGTCGTGTATCAGACCTCTGGCAAACTCGAACTCGAACAGATACGCATATCTCTTACGTGTTCGACGTTTCGAAAATAATATTAAATCATTTTTTGTTTAACGCTGACAAACTTCTTGAGGGCGCAGATGATAATGATATCAACTAATAAATTACGTAGGATCGATCTACTACCTTCGAATACGAAAGTTTTATAAGTGTAGTAGATTTTGAGGCTATACGTACAAGTTATGAGAAATGATAAATCATGAACATCTCAAATGGTGACCTCTATCGTCGGGGCTTACGTGGGCAATGGGACGAGCGTAGTCAATTAATGTACTGTTTTATCGACGGAGTAAACCCAAGGGCAATGACCTCAATGTTGAGGAGCGCTTGACCTATATATCACTAATGTATCCAGCATGCGTACACGTGTATAACTCGCGTTCTATTACTTCTAACTATAGTCGCATCTAATAGGCCGCTTTGTATCTTCTAACGTACCTTAGGTTTTTCCTATCGCGGTTAATTTTTCAAGTATTCCGAAATTACGAATGTCGCACACCGTGTATAGAGAAAATCATTGACGTTTTGATAAATCGAATTCGAAGGTCATATCTCGTATCTCGTAACACCTAATCACGAAGCGTTATTGAATCATATTTCATTTATTACAAACGAAAAGGCAATGTTAATACACCTAATACTGTGCACAATACGTAATTATTCGTAATTGTATTTGATTAAGAATGAAACAAAACCAAACCTGCAGGCATTAATAAAGACAGAATATACATTCACGGCCATTGCCAAAGAGAAGTTGCTTTAAACGTAGCTAGCCAACAGCGAACGTTGTAAGTTAGGTCAATAGCATAACGTTGATTACATTTTTTACGCACGAGGAATATCTTAGAACGAATAGAAATCTAAAACAATCTATCATCTGATTATCTGGAGCTTCCAAAGTAAAAGTTATTCCGACGATTTCATCGACCTACCTCAATTCGAAATTGTAAACAATAACGTGCATTGTGCAGTTTAGATTTATCTCGAAAAAAAGAACGAATTCTACTGCGTTCTATTTTGGTCCGGGAAAGGGGAAGGTCAAAACAGGGCAACATCCTACGAGTCAATGTCCTGTTGATGACAACAGGGAACACACCCGATCGAGGTCGTAAACCATTCACGATGTTGTGCGATAATAACATAAGAATCGCTTAATAACACGGTTTACGGGCAATGGAACGGATTTGTAAGAATTTGTTTTGCGAACAACGTGAAACAGGACACAACTGCAATGTTTTAACGCGTTTAAGTGTGTTTTTACGTGTTACGTACCTGCCACCTCGAAGGCACTGCCAATCATAATATATCTCGAGCGACGATAATCCAACGCCAAAGGGTCCGATTCAGCCACGACGGGCTGTTATTTTCGTCACAAAACACTGCACATGTTATCACACGGCATCGTACACTTTCATTACAATGTTGACTTTTCCGTTTGATCGGACAATCGTCGCCAAACGAACGTGGTGTACACAGACTCACCTTCGTACTCGGCGCAATGCCGCCATATTTCCTGTTGTCCAAACTGTTCGGGCGCTATACATCCATAGACTACGCAACGCTTCAAGATACGAGTACTCGTTGTACGTTTTCGTAATCTATGACATACCACGGTCGACTCCAATACTAACCATGCTGAATGAGAAACAGTCTAATTTTACACTTGATAGAAAAAGTATGAGCATTTATGCGTCTCTGTCTATTTAGTATAAAATTGAACTCTCACAGATTTACTGCTTCTCGTTCAGCGTGGCTGGTACTGAAGTCGACTGTGACTATACACGTCTATATTCTACTCATGACAATAGCATATTTAGAAATTGAATTTTCATTCTTCGCGACAAATCATCTGCAGTTAATTTTAATTGAAAACTAAAGACAATGCAAATTTGATTTGTGAAGCACAAAGAAGAATTTTATATTAATTTATGTGACAGCATCTTTTCAAGATTTCTTACTTAGATGCAAATGATCTTGCAAATAACATTTGTAGCTTTGTGCACGAGGTATGCCTCGTCTGTGGTATAGAATAAACCTTAATCACTTCCAACGTTATCGGTCCACGCTGGAATTCGAAACTAGCGCTCCTAGTGTTTAGAATTAAGACTAAAGATTGTTTTAAACAATTTATAATTTATATGAGACAGTAGTTATAATAATACTTAATAATATGTATCGTGAACATATTAGTTGCGAACGTTATTTTGTCTAAAACACTCGCTACATCGTCTTTTTTTTAAATCAATCGATCTTACTAGCAAAATCGACTAGCGTCGCCTAGACTCTTATTTGATAAAGAAGGTAGCTGCAGAATTGTCACAGCTTTGCTGTAGCAACACCATCTAGGATTTCAACTAATTTCAATCGTGCGATACTAGAAGCTGTGTGCAGCAGAAATAAATGCGTTTTACATGCCGTATTCCTCTTAAACAGAACAAATTAATGTCTTTGATAATGCCTTCTAATACATGCAACTAATGTTTTGTATATTTTATGTAAATGATATACGTACATATTCAAATGTAATGATATGTATTTAATGTGTAGTAGTATGTGGAATGCATTAATAAATCATTACAAGGTTTAAATAACATTCTCTAACATTACTTTCACGCAGCAACTAGTGATGCATCATAAAGACAAATGAGTAACGGAATATCTGTTATCTAATTTTTATAACCGTTATTTGTCTTTCGTGATTAGATCTACATAATTTACAATTCTACAAATCTACAAGTTCTTCATTGTAAATAGCCCTTAAGGACCGTTACTCTCAGTAACTTACTTTTAACATTTACAGATTTAATTCTACAAAAGTATACTTCTTCGATCGACACACGTGTTTAATCTTATTACCCTTCTTTATTCGAGAAAACTTATAATCAGTAATTTCAAATTCTCTGCAAAACGAGAAATTTAATCCCACGACACTAGTTTTCAATAAACGAGCCAACAGTGGTTAATGAATATTTTCGAAATAACAAAGATAATTGTCTTAAGAAACGACATTTATGCTTCACGTGACATTGTCGATCGAATTTCTCATGCAGCGCTTAAAATTAGTAACGAATTAAGGTAAACAATTTTTGAAATTCATACGGCACAGCACTGGTGAGAATTTCGTTAGTTACCGAATACCGGAAACGTCCTTTGGTTCGTTTGCCGCCAAAGTTAGCTCTGTGTAGCGATGAAATTGTTTATCCTTTGATTCGGGGTCCTTCATCACTTATCAGATTAATTTAGAAACTAGATTTAAAAAGTGCGACTTGGGGAACGATCGCTCCAAATTGTTGTAGTGAAATTCAGGATTTTCGGTAAAATTTAACGTTTAACAAAGTCAGCGATGGCCAAAGTTCAGCTAGCAAACGTAGCTGTACTGGACAATCCTTCGCCGTTTCTAAATCCGTTTCAGTTCGAAGTCACTTTTGAGTGTATCGAAGAACTGAAAGAAGGTAATTTTCGTAATCTGTTATTCGTATCGTCAACAGTAACCGTATAAGCACGCCAGTATTACTCGACCTAAAGCCTTTTTCGAATGTTCTTAACAGTTTAATAGGTTAGTTTGAATAGTTTGGTAGTGTGTTCTCCAAGGACAAATTACCGTAATATTTTTTATATAACGATCTTATTGTTAAGAAAGACATCGATATAGTCTTATTTAGATACATTTTTTTTTGTGAAACCGATACTTTGAATAATCGCGTCGTTGAAATACACGCCATTAAATACGATGCTAACGATGGGATTGCAGATTTGGAATGGAAGATGATTTATGTCGGCAGTGCCGAATCCGAAGAGTTCGACCAGGTTTTAGACACAATTTACGTTGGTCCAATTCCTGAAGGAAGACACATGTTCATATTTCAGGTAAATTCATTGTGTATGTAAACAATATATTTATTTCAGATAATTCAGATTGAAAAAAACATTGTCTGTGATTTGGATGAAATACCAAGAACTTGTGCTTGTTCAGTTTTTTCAAAATGTAACGTTGCTATTTAATTTTAATTTTAGGCAGATCCCCCGGATGTTAGCAGAATACCGATCAATGATGCTTTAGGGGTTACGGTTGTCTTGTTAACTTGCTCGTACAGAGGGCACGAATTTGTACGCGTTGGCTATTTTATAAATAACGAATACACGGATGCCGAGCTCAGAGAAAATCCACCGCCTCAACCACAGTTTGACAAAGTACAACGAAACATCTTAGGGGATAAACCACGTGTTACTAGATTCAAAATAAATTGGGACGATGGAGCAAGCTCGACGACAAATAACGTGCCAGAAGGTATGGACGCGCAGTCCTTGGAGGAAACATCGCAAGATGCGCCGACATCTACATTGGGTTTCACAGAAAGTACGCACAACAGCATGGAAGTGATGTAAATAACAGTACGCTGCGAGTTATGGATATGATAGAGTAAACTGTAATCCGAAGAATGAAGTAGTACCTGGAAACAAGATTGGAATGATTCGTACATTTGGATACCTTGAAGGGAAAAATGTTAAAAATAAAAAATGGTAGCCTTTTGTACAGTATATATTAATAGATTTCTTTCGAAAAAATATAAGTTGAAAATTAGTAACATGTTGGTTAGTATGACAGTTTAAAATTTGTATGGGAATGATGTTGTTTATTACTAAGTATGTATGCATAATTATTACTTGTATCGAAAGACAACCACGAATAATTTATTATGCATCATTATGAACGAGGTAGTTTGTCTGAATGAAGAGAAGTGAATTTCTTAAGACTAATATAAATTCTAAGCTAAATTACGTAGATTCTGTATTAAGAGATTTGTAATTGTGCACTAATATGCGTTTTGCAAATTAAAGATTTTCAATTTCAGGAATTTTAATTACGAGAAAAATTGTTTCAGCGTTAACTCTTTGTAGCCGTAATTTAAATATAATTGTATTATGATATTCTAGAGACGTTTGAAATTTTGTGTTTAATAGTTTAAGTATTATAGTATGGCTTATTATTGTAACGTAAATTAATAGTCATAAGGCTGTTTCCATTTTATCCTTGTATGTACATATATACTAAAACGAGAAATACACATTATGTTTTTTACTTCATTAAATCTTGCCTCCAGTTACTTTATTTTCCACAACCTCGCGCGTAAACAATGAAAGGATTTGGTAATGGGATTATAAAATCAACAAGTGGAAATAACATAAAATAGCAAACTAAAGTCTAAGAACATAACGTAACTTTAACATCGATATGCGTATGGTAAAGTACTTTTACCAGTTTTAGTTGATTTACAAATTACAATCGTTATTTATATACTGTCAAACAAACGATTTATCTATGCTTATAAAGTGATCATATTTTTAGTAAACACGCCGATCGAAGTTTTTAGCTACCACCTCATTCAAAATATTCAAAAAAATACAAGTTAAATTTAAGTCCAATTCGAATACCGAATCTATATCGATTTTTTACGAATATTCTGCGTCCCGCCAAGATTTTCGCTTCGTATACCAATCGTTCCCCTAGTCGTGCCCAGTCCCAGACCACTTAAACGCAAGTTGTTCCATTGTTTAAAGGAAACGGAGGCCCACAATAATACGAGTACGCCACTGCCACCCCCACCACCCGCCTTGACGGGAGCAAGTCTGAACATGTTCAGTCTACGTCAGTCTCGGCGATTAGTAACAGCATCACAGGTGGATCCTAAGCAGTGCAAGTGTTTTCACATGTGAAACTATATAGACAAATGAATCTGTCAGAAATCTACGAGTAGATGCGATTTTAACTGCAATCATATCTTGAACACTCTCTCCATTTACATCGCACCTTTTAATGGTAAGTAAATAACATTCGTGACATATAAAAAAAAAAACTCGAATTTCCGCTCAGAACCTGACAATTTTCAATAGCGAAATACCGAAGAACTTTATTCCGCCGCTATTATTAGGTACAAATTTTTGTATCAAACAAAACGATGGTAATTGCTCAATTATTGCGAATAACGCGATAATCGAATAGTAGTGAAATTAGGAGCTCCGCGAAATGTAAGTGCGATTACACGCGTACAGAGACCATGTACTTACAGTATACATATACAACATGTATTTCGATTGTGGTACACGCAAGTACTTGTAACAAAATCAAGATATCAAATTATGTTCTATCAATTGCAAACCTTTTTCCTTTGATTACCTTTATCTTCCCCAGCTTTTTTATTTTATGGGAATTTTGTTAGTAATCTCTTATGGTGATTTCATCATCTTTCGTAAAAATTTTTCCGAAATATTTACACGATGCATTGAACTTGGAATTATATCTAAAGAAATAATTTTTTGTTACGACACGAAGGACATAATTGTCAACAACAACCTGTTTCGTCATTTTTTCTATTAATTTTATTTGAAATAACGATTATGTACGAAAAACTAGAGACGCTTAAATAGTTTAATGCGCATTATTTCCTCTAAATCACATCGTGGTCTTGTTACTAGAACCGGAATATACGTATGTATGCCACAATTTTCGGTACCACATCGAGAGCGCGACGATGACTCATTCAGCAACCGTTTTTTTTTCTCCGTAACTATCATAAGAACAAGATATCGTAAGGGAATAAAGGATCAATTACAATATCGATTTTTTAGATATTCAACTATCGCTGTTATCAATCGAAGGACATTGATTTTGTTATAAAAAATATTGCACATCGAAACGAAATATTGCTCGGCAAATCGGGAACGTTCTATGACACATGCGAAAACTTCACGTGTTTTTGTTGTTTTGTTTACGTTTAATTTTAACACGTTTGAACCGCGATTGTAAGACCAGTAAATATCGTTTCACACAGACCGGATACTTGTTCTTTTAATTCGCGATAAAAATATAATTGTCTAAAAAGTACGTGATCGTTAAAATAAGCAAAATTTATGTACGACAATTTTCACAATTGACACACTGCAAAATATACGACAGTATGATAGTCTTTTTTTTTTTTATAAACAATGAGTTTTGCGTTATCGCGAGTTATTAATAAGTGACATACATATACGAAATAAACGTCTATTCTTCCCGCGAATATTTCTCTGTCATGAAAAAACTCTAGTGTGCTATTCCAGGATTAAGATGTTAGTTCATTATTATTTTTATTAACGTTATTGCAAAGAATTGTTTTATTACTATTGATTCAATGTTGTAAATTGTTTTTTTAAAGTTAAGTACCTTTCCATGATATCCAAACGCAATAGATATGTACTTTATTTGGTTAGAATTTCAAACAAGTTACTTTAAGCATACAATTTAAGAAGCGACAATATAATCAAAGAAAACAATGAAAAATATTTTGTTACTGTATCAAGTATATACATATGTACATTTTGGAAAATAACGTTCGCGTTAAAATTGATCGGTACAACAATCCATTACGTATTTCGCAAATTCAGATTTCTTAAAGTTGAAATAGCGGTTAGTGAACCGGATTCCCTCAGACTACAGTCAGCGTCTTCTAAACTACAGGGTGAACGATCGTATTTCAAAATGGCGGCCGGTTACAAAATGGCCGCCTATGGCGCATTAAATTTGCACAATCACCCTCTCGCACTTTCACCGACTAACGAATAACAGCAATTGTATTATAATATACGAATATTTCTCATAAAAAGGAGTTTATATAAACCGATTTCTCAGTATATTTCGATCTATTATACTTGTTAACTTTGCATTTATATTCAAGTATGGAACATAATATTTCAATAATTAAATTATTAACAAAAATGTAGAAAACTCATTTTTTTCTAAACAATTTTCCTTTGTTTGTCTTCTTATAATGTTTTCACTTCTATCGATGAATCTAAATCGAACATCGATTGCAATTTCTAAACAGTAAATACATGATTGCCGTTTGACAATATTTATTACTTAAATAAATCTAAATTTTGTTTAAAATGTTGAAATATTGTTAGATCTTGGTGTATGGAGAACAGAATTGTTGGATTTAAGCTTGAATTTTATGTATTTAGGTCTTAAAGACCATCTAGCGTCCTTGGGGTTCGAACCGGAACTGCCGCGCATGCCAAAGTTTACCCATTCCGAAATAAAACTATATAAACTCGGACAATATTCTTTTTCTCAAAATCTTATTATTTCAATGCTTTACTTCGATAGTTTGATTTAATTCTACCGATTCATAACAAAGTAATAAATTTTTCAACTCGTTATCTTAACAAAATATCTAATTCGAACATCGATATTAGTTTTATTGGTGTATTTCTAATAAACGAAAAACAATTATTTTTGCAGGCTACGCCAGCAGAAGGACGGTTTTGTCGTGACGACACTCAATGTTCCTCGGAACAGTATTGTTATAATGTATCCGAACGATGCGTCGATTATACTCAATGCAGCAGGTATAATCGACAAGAAAATAAAAGACGATCTCGACATCCCTCTCACTGTGGACAATGTCTGCCTGGGTAATTACATTTTGTTACCTGTTCATATTATCATTAACTTTAAAAAAAAAATAAATAAATAAAAATAAAAATAAATTAATTTTGATGTGTTTACTAATTACAATGTAATTGTTTCCAGTTATACCGCGGAAGAACTTGGTACAGGAGAAATGGCATTGCTATGCAGGAAAACAGACACACGTGAAAATATTTTTGGTAAGAAAAAAATAAAAATAAAATTAATCGAACTTGCATTAGTGATACCTATATGCTAATCATATTTTATTTATTAATTTTGTTTTATATAGAATCCGGTGGATTGATCACTTTAGTAATCAGCTGCGCAATAATTGGAGTAATTTTTTGTGCAATTTTAGTAATCGTTTTATTCGTAAGGAGACGTACGTATAAATATTTTACGTTTGTTAACATAATAGAAATACATGATTCAACATACCGTTCGTTGTACTAATAATTTTTTAATTTTAGAATGATAAAAAAGGAACGAAATGTTTTGTTTTAGGAGGATCGAGACGGCTGAACAATAATAATATAGAAGAGTCTAGTGATCTTTGCGCAGTTGAGCCAAGTGCTCCACCAATGGAAAGTAATGAGTATTTTTAAATATTTTTGTAATTGTTATTCGCTTACTTTACGTATTTTTATAAATGTTATTATGACGCACAATTTACATTACTTAATGCCGCACTTCTATAAGACGATATAGTTCACAAAAAAGCACAAAAGTCGGTGATTGCATCTGCTATTAACAAACCGGTAGATTAGATCGAAGCTTGCCGTCAGTTTGAAGAAAAAGTTTCTTTAGAAAGTCTTTTATTTAATTTTTTTTCTCTCAATTGAGACAGTGTAACAAAAGAAACTTCCAATAAATTGATGGCAATGCATAAATTAAAAAATATATAAGCACTGTAGCTTGCTTCTCTGTCTCGATTATTCACTTTTTAACATCTTCTATATGTTCGAAATTACTAACCGTAAATTAAACGGTTAATATTTTTACGAAGACTACGATTATTTTATTACAGTATACTATACCTACCTACTTGAACGTTGAATTAACTACGGCGGTTCAAAACGCGGTAATAATTTTAATAGAATTATGTATAATACATCGACAGCGCTAACATAATACTTAACATGGTTTTTTTTAATATTTTAATGAATTTTACAGGACCGTTTATCGATTGCGGAGATGGCGCACAGTTTAATAACAATAAAAACGTAAAGGATAAGAACAAACTAGTGCGCGCTGCTATGTTTAATGGACCTGATTGGGTTTGTACTAACCCGAACTATGAAAACAATTTAAATAACGATAATGCAAATGCATTGGACCAATCCAATTCTAGCAGGGATCTACCATCGACCGATAATAATACCAATACCTGGGCTCTGCAGTAAGTAAATGATTAAAACCTTGTATTTCATTAATTTTACATATTTATATTCATTATTGGATAAACAGATATCTAGTGACTATACAATCTTTTTCTTTTTTTTATAGACAATTACCGTTCACGGTAGTAAATAATAACAGATTAGAATTTGAAGTAGAACGAATGAGTAACAGCGCAAATGTCGTTCGGGCGAATAGCCCCTCTTCGTCTAATGCAACCGAAGAAGATAGCAACAATAACAGTAATGATTCAACATCTGATTCGAATAACGCTCAAGATGGTAGAGAACGTAATCGAAGCTCAAATATATTAATTGCCCCGACAATATCGATGAACGTACATGTTCTCAATACTGATTGTTGATTTTAAAGAATATAAATATTATAAAATGAAATCACGCAAGTGCCGAAATTTGGAGGAATAATCGCTGAATTTATTTGGTGAAAATTTTTGACGCGACAGTTTCTAGCATAAGAAGATACTTTTCTTCTGCTATTAACATGTTTGATAAAGTAATTGTGATAGTTCAGAATTTTATGATTCCAAATAAGTGCTCAATAATTTTAAATACGTAATAATTGCAAACGTTATCCCAAAAACGTAATATGTATATGAATCAAATTCTGTTAGTTCTTAAATATTTATGATATCATATATAATAAAATGTTACAATAATTTAGATTTAGAAAATTTTGTTGACGCATTATATTTCAAAAATAATACATTTTGTATACCTAGAGTTAGTAAAATGTTTCTCATTACTTATTTATAACATTTTATAAGTATATTATGTTTTCATATTATTCTCATCAACATACATCTACATAGTATTACAGTTAACATTCTATATTTATACTATTTTAATCAACATTTTAAAAGTCTGGTAAATAGCATGTAATAAAACAGTATAACTATTTGATAAAAGCATTTATTTTTTTATCCCTATTATTTTTTAAAGGTTCTAGAATAATTTTCCAACATAACTAACCCACCGTAACTAATCATCGCTACTTACAAGAGGAATAAATAAATTTCACAAATAATTCCAATTAATTTTATTACGACCGATGACACAACCGTGGAAGAATTTCAGCTCCAACTCGTTCTTAACACGACAATCTTCAAAGGATGACTTTCGAAGCTTACACGGCGGGATGAAACTGAAAAAACCTGACCAGAACCTTAAAATATAAAATCATTAAATATGACTATTAGACACCATCGCAACAATGAGGTCGACACCAAGGCTACCGATCCAGAATGACAAAGAGGTAGAACCAACCGAAATACTGCTTCTGTAGACCTAATAATCTTAACCGTTAACTTTAACCTTATACCTCCCCACCCTTCCGCCATCTTACAAAGACACTGGTCTGGATTCATCCTTGTTAATAACTTACCCCACATAATGCACCCTGGTCTCGCCAAAAACATATTTGGCTACACTAATAGAACCATAGTTTCTAAGTCTCTGAAATACCTGTATCAAAACGTCGTCTATGTAACAAAAAACGAATTCTAAGCACGTAATATTAGATCCATGAATCGCTGGAAGGATTGGGTTGCATTATATAGACCAAAAGTTATTGCCTTAAATTCAAAGAGACCAAAAGGTGTACTCACGGCGGTCTTGACTTTGTCTTACTTCCTGTAAATGATGCGTTAGCTGATCGGGCTCGATCTCTTGACTTTGACCTTGGACATCGACGCCATACAGGACGAGATCGTTCACTTATTTTTGCTGCAAGGCTTTCGACTATTTTGCGATTTGTCTCTGCAAATCCATCGTGTACCGCATCTACCGTAGTTACAGGAATAGGGGACATCTCTGTAGACGCCTCTGTGAGTTGGTGCATTAGCCGGCTTCGTGCATTCTGCATTGCTACTTTATTCTTCCATCATGATTCGGGAAACGGTTGAATCAGGCACACACGTCACACGACGATATTCACGGAATAGGATAACTAAGAGCAACGTATTCTTGGCGCAACAGAATATAGACGCTCCGTTCGTACGTTGTGTGGCCCTAGTACGCTCTACGTTTCTGTTACAAGATGGCCGCTCGGGGCTCGGATAGTAACAGGACTGCGCTTGCGCGGAATCCGTATTCTACGCGGGGCGCATGCGCATTTCATGGCACCGATCTGCCATTTGGTAAATGTAGAGACAATTCAAATTTGTGCGTTAAACTTGAGCGTGCCTGGAATGTGTTTACCGAATTATATTGTTTTGACAAATCAATTACGAATTATCACAAATGTCTAGCAGCGCGAGCATAATGGATGATATAATGACATTTAAGAACAAGCACGTGAATGTTACAGACTCACAAATGAAGGAAATATTGCAAACGAAAACTAAGTTAATGGATATTAAAAATGAACAGGATCATCTTTGCGATGGTAATTAGAATATTGCTTCTTGTGTTTTCGCTTTTAATCTAGGAACAATGGTGTTTTCTTTTTTTCCAGAAGATGAAGCAAAAATTGAAAAACTTATATCAAAAATAACTTCTATGAAGGAGAATCTTCAATCTGAAAAACAAACATTAGAGTACAAAGACCGTGAACTGTCAAATCGTTTAGATAAAATAGTAATAATTTCTACATGCTCGCTGTGATTTTATGCTTACATTATATATACCGAAGCGAATAAAATACACTATTTCTACAGGTTCAGTTAGAAGGAGAACAAAACATATCTTTAAAAGAAAATCAATCGTTGGAATTACAGAGAAATAAACTTAAAATCTGTAGAGATAATGTGCAAGACCAGGCATTGTTGGAAAATGGAAGGTTGCCCCATTATTTCTTTAGATTTATATTATGCTCGTGTACCATATATATTTTCTAACATTTTACTTGTATATGTTGCAGGAGAAAATATATGTTATACAAAGAATTAACTAGGATACGGTGGGATTTTGAATATCTAGAAGAAAAAGTGACAGGATGTATCCTTTTAATCGATTCTAACTCGGTATACCTATACAACTATTCCTTATTTATAGAACATTTAATGTTTGAGAAAATATATCCTTAATTGCAATATCAGACGTGTCAAATAAAAAGGATTACATTCATCATTTTTCTTATAAAAACAACATCACTGGAGATTTGGCTGATCTCTTGTGGCAAGAAATATACAAATCAACAGTTCCCAAAGAAAATAGAGATGTACATAACGAAGAAAATATACAAAATAAATCGACTTGACATGCACAAATTTTAAGATCTACATTGTGTTAAAAATATAATAAATTTTTACAGTGCAAGATTAAAAAATGTGTACTGTTTTTTAAATTATGCTCGATACTTTTTAAATTTTATATTTGAATTATCTTCTTTCTTTGTAAGTGTAGCCTTTTTAATTTTTCGTAAAAGAGAATAACATAACAACTTTCAAGAATCCAAAAAAAATAAAATAACGAGAAAAAGTTTCGCGATACAAGAGTATAAAAATATCAAATCTTCTAAAATCTTGTAGAAGTAACTCATAGTAGCATACATGAATAATCGACCTTTCAGATATCTACATATACGCGCTCTAGTATATTTTCTTTGAAGATGTTGGTTTATGTTAGTAACGAACTACGTCCGCTCGTAGTTCCTAACCTATTTCGCTGAACGTATTTCGTCACACGGATTCAGGAACAAATATCTAATTTTGGTTTCCTAAGTTGTTACGATACGTCGACGACTTGTAATAATTAACGTACACGTACTACGATTAAATAACCACATATTCGAAGAGAGAAGCTCGAACGGCAATTTAAAAAGATGTCAATGTTGGTTCGACTTGTTCGTTCTCAAGGAATTAGAAACAAATTTCCATTGTTAACATCAAAAGATGTTAAAGTGCTCGATACGGTGCTTCGACATGCATCGGCGACACCTTCGAAAATTGACGTGGTCTCGGATAAACCGTTTCCGGTGAAAAAAAAATGGGTTAGCTATGGATTTGACGAAGAGGACGAGAAAATGGATCGACATTGGATGCACCAAACACTTTTCGTTGCCGTTACTGTCTGTTGCGTGTTTGGAATATTTGTATGTGGTTATTTACCGGATCCAAAACTGAAAAGTTGGGCCCAACGAGAAGCATATTTCCAAATTCGATTAAGAGAGGAGAAAGGTTTGCCCTTGATCGATCCAAATTTCGTAGATCCGTCAAAGTTTACTCTTCCGACCGACGAGGAGCTTGGCGAAACCGAGATAATTATTTAAACGACATCAAAATAACATATAAATAAACAGAAGAAAAGTTTTAGCATTCTTGTATCGATCGTAAGAAGATTGTTGTTCCTTCCACATTTATCATGTATTATTTAAACTTGTATCGGTATAATTTAATGTACAATAAATAGTTTTGTTACAAGTTGGAAGCATCTTATTTCTGACCTCTCAAACAATTTACAGAGTATAACACTGAAACAGAATATACATAAAGAAAAAAAGAATTACTGAAGTATTTATGTTTCAAGCAGCATCGAGTAGTTACTCTTTAAAATTTATTCATATTTACTATTCAAATGATATACAAATATTTTAATTCGTTATTCGATGATAAAATAAAATTTATCTTACGCAATAAAAACAAGACATGTAACATAAATTAAATGTATGCCCTATTGTATAAAAATTATATAGTTACAAACGTGCACAACAAAATGTGTAAGAAGCGGAGTAGTTTATGCGTAAAGATTTAATACTTATTTTTCCTCTTAAATGCTTTAATTTGATCTTAGTGTAAGAAATTAGTTTACCTATATACAGAATTACATAACTTATGTTTTCGCATATTCAAGGATTCGTGTACATCGCGATTAGATAAGTAATAAAATACAAATGCACAAAGTAGAATGACACGCTATATAGGTGTAATATATGCATCACGTCTTTATTTTATCTTCGTTCTTTAATATGTAATTTTCGTTATGAAACAAAAGGACGTCTTTGTTAGAAATACAATGGTCGTTACTGTGTTGACGTTACTGTGGACGTAGGGACAGTATCGATGCCAGTTATCTGGCTTTGTTGTAGAATAGACGTTGTAGAGAAAGACGTATTCTGCGGTAAACTTGCACTAACGGTTATTGGTGGCATACCGGGCAATGAAATCGGTATTGTTACTACGCGAGACTGAGGCACATTCAATTGCACTCCGGGCGATATTGTCTCCTGTGCTGTCGTAAAATCTTTCTGCGATTCGACATTACCAGCCATTTCATTTAAGAGCGTTGTATTAGACGAGAATGTTGGTAAAGGTGGAGTAGTCGGCATACCAGGTATATCTGGCATTGTGTTTTGATGAGACGAAGAATTATTACCTAAATAAAAGTGGTCAATCAGAGATAATTTGTTCACTTATCTAATTACTAAAAACTAAATTTATTTAATACAAAAAAAATACACTCTACTATTACCAAATACATAAAAATTTACTTACCGGTTTTTAATGTAGAATACACTTGATTTTAATAACAGATTTGTTCGAAGCAACGTTTACGCGAGCAAAACCACGGACAAAGATAAATTTAATAAAATAAATAAATACGTGATATAAAGAGACTCTTGAACCTATTTGTACTTATTCCATACGTACCGAAATGGATTAAAATATTCAGTTAAGTACGTTTTACGATAAACGAAACATAATGTACTTTGTTAAGCTCGCGAAGGCTGTAGTGCTGTTTCATCCTCGGCAAAACTTTTCTGCGTTGTTGCTAACATTTGCTCGTTTAAATATTATAATTACTTGCTAATACTTACCGCGCATAGCATTCGTAGTACCTAGACTAGGTACAACATGAGGCACAGAATTTGTGGTAGTAGATCCTCCGACGAGGGCAGGATTTAATTGCGGAGCAGAATATGTTTGTACGCTTGGTGTATACATATTCTGCATTGTAGTTGTTTCGAGACCAGATTTTGTAGTACTCTCTTGCGGTGAAATGTAATTAGGTGGAATAGAGAAACCCGGGGGTACACTTATAACTGCATTGCTTCCTGTTTTGTGAGTAGTATTTGTTGCTGTTGCCTTAGTTGAAACAGTAGGTTTAACGTTACTCTAAAAAAAAAAAAGTTATTAAATATTTCGTAATATTAAATATAACACACGGATAAAACTGTTATGTACCATGTATGGATTACTGGGTTTATGTTCTTGCACATTTCTAATCGGTATTCTATGAAGGTATCCATATCCAATCCCACAACCTAAGCTACAAACGCATCGAAACAACATTAAAATGTAGTAACTACAAGCACAAAATGCATATACTTCGAACGAAAAGGCTCGTGGAAATACCTTCCTTCACCACCCCAGCTCTGATTGGGTACGATCGTAACTTCTCTACAAGAATCATCTTCAGTGTTATATACATATAAATTTAGATTTCGGGCCTCGTGTGTTTCTATTAAGTTAAATAAATCCTCGGATTCGTGTAAAACTGAATTAGCACCGATAATGTAATCTGTAAACGGTCGTAATCCTGCTACTTCGGCGGGAGAAGATGGATGAACTTCCTACATAAGACAGTACGATGGATGAAAGCGTTATTTAATCCTGTGATATATTATTCCTTGATATACACTTACGAGAACATGCCAAACATTTTCGTTTGAACCTTCGAAAGAACAAAACCTTATGCTAACTCCGAGAAGACCCTGTCCACCCCATGTGAGACTAGGTACTACGACAGTTTGTCTGACAGATTGCGTCTTACTACTATATACCGTAAGCGATAATTTTTTGTCCACGCCATTTTTAAGAAATTCCTTTAACATATCATTATCTTGATTCTACAAAAATTAGCTACGATTAAACCAACGAACAATAAACATCGAAAATATATTTAATAGAAGAACAGTTGCAAATGGAATTCATTTGTCCGATAACCTACAACGCTAACATTTTCATTAAAAACGAAAACAATTGAAACATACCAAACGAGTATTTCCAATGGCTACAATGAAGTCAAAGAATGCTTCAAGGCCGGCCTTTTGTCCAGGAGAACCATCTTGTACCTGTTTCAGTCGTAAATATCCAAATAAATTAAAAATTTACCAAATATACAATACAAGAATAACTGCATTAATGTAATAATATATCAACATTCAAATTATAATTCAACCTTTGACATTAATATAGTTAATGTGTTTATCGAATCATCGTTAACTTATATACGTTAAATTTATTTATCTATTTGCTATTCGCGATTAGATTGAAACTTTCCTTCTCAAAAGGAAAAATGTCAGTATTTGCAAACAGATTTAAGTATTCTGACAACTTCCTTTACCTTCAAGACGTGATAACCTTCTGTTCCACCTCCTGGTATTTCAATACTGTGGGAAGATCCCATGTTTGATCAGTAAGTCTCTTAAGTTATTTGGTCTATAGAAATAAAGACCATTAAAGCAACTGTTGTTTAGGAATTAAGAATTGTAATGGAAAAATATGTAACACAAAAGCTTCGTACAGTCTCGTTGGTGACGTTGCTCATCATATGTAGAAGCCAGGTGTGCTTATGGTCAGTTCAGTGTTACCAATTGCAAATGATACTCTTTTAATAAAAAGAGAAAATATCTTAATAAATTTGATACAATTGGTATGTTTATTGCGAAGTCAAATAACGCTGTTTTAAAATTGTGTACGCTTCTTGTTAAATAAATACGATCATTGCAGTTCAGTTACTTTTTTACTATTTTTTAAAAATGTGAAATAAAAAAAGTATTTTTAAAATTTCAATGAAAATTGAAAATACATAAATTTACTCAACTTTGTAGTTTAGGAAATTTTGGTGTTAACTAGGCAGTAGCTTCTGTATTGTATACGACTGTATGTAGTCTAATGATGTATCATTTGCGCAAGCTCAGTTATGCCTGAACTGGCCACACTGGCGGGTTGGCATTTAAATATGTTCGAAAGTAACTGTTGAATGTAATTTCGCGTCTGGCTTGAACAGTTTTTGGCGCAATTTAGTAAAACAATTTGCAGACGATAAGAAATTATTTGTTCAAAAGATGGATTCGGACATAGAACAAATTAATAACGTTGTGCTGGATGCTTGCCTTCCGTCGAGCATAAACGATTTGAAGAATCCGACGGAGCAGTTTGTGGTCAACTTGATCACTACATTTCTAAGGAGATTTCATATAGATGTTGGCGCAATTTATAGAGTAAAACATTATTTTAACGTTTTCAATTTTTATCGGTTTTTATCATCGAAGTATAGATCTATTGTCTAATATGAATTCATATTGTAGCCAACATTGGAGCAACAAGACATAATATCATACAATGAGGATACTGAAATAATTGGACTCTTAAATTTGCAAGTTGCTATGATACAGATATGCGAGCGTATATATATAAAGGAGTTATGTATCACGGATATCATCAGTCCAGGTACACATTTCGCAGACTAAATTTCCAAGTTTAAGATTGCAATTAATGGAATAATTGAATTAAAAATACTTCTACCAACTAGGTTCAAAAAGGATACGTAAGCAAGCAAAATTCTTTGCTAATTTTATATTGTACGCAACTACCAAACAGTCGGACATAAAGGATAAAGTTGATAAAATTAAAAACAGAGAAAAGATATTGCAAGACCTGATAGACAGGAAGAATGAATTATTTAAAATTTCAAACGATAAAGCGTTGCATACGGCAAAGCAGTTATCGTTGAAGAACCAAGTATTATTTTTTAATGGATTACTTTAACTTACATCTACAATTTTGTACATTCTATTTTCTTTTAGTATATTGCTGAGATTCAGAAGCAACAAGCCAAGCTCGAGGCTAATAACAACAAGTATGCCACATTAATGGCAAAAATGTCCGCGGAAGAAGAGAGGAAACAGCGATTCTTGGAGCTTAGCGGATCTTACAAGGCTCAAGCTTTAAAGGTAAGTAAAAGCTTAAAAACAGAATTGAAAATACTTAATACAAATAGCAATGTATGATTACAGATGAGCAAAACTATAGCAGAATTGCAGTCAGAAATTGTAAAGTCTCCCGAGAAGTATAAAACGCGTTTCAATGAATTGGAAAAGCAACAGAGTTCTCGGGACAAACAACGTAAAACAATGCAGGAAGCGTATCAGGATAAAAAGCATTTAATTGAACAACAAAGCGCTATTCTTACTTTTATTCAGAAACAATTGGATAAATTTGGCGAGGTACCGGACACGATCGAACGATTAAAGTATTTACGCAATTCTGTTTTTAACGTGCAATTGGAACATTGGAATGTCTTTCATATTTCATATATGCATATCTTTTTTTTTCTTTAGAAAAATAACTGCGGAAAGAGAGAGTGGTAAGAAACAGATTGAAATGCTTAAAGCAGATATCAAGGAATTTGAAAGAAGATTAGAAGGCGAAAAAGATGGGCGCAGAGATAACGAAGTTGATGAACTTCTTGCGCAAAACGAAGAACGTCTTAATCCTTTACGTAATTTATGTACACAGTTGTTGAGGTATCTAGAAAAAAATAAATAAAATATTAATGTTTTTATGTACAATTATAAAAGATTCGTATCGTTTGCAGTAAGAAAAAATTGTGCCAAGAAGAATTAAAAGAAGTACAAGTTCAATATAATGAAGACTGCTTAAAATTGAAGAAAATACAAAGTGTAACGAAAAAATTGGAAGAAGAGACAGTAACGTTTAATAAAAATTATCAGGATATTTTGAAGAATGAAATGATGACTGTAAGTTTAATTAGAATTATGCAATATGTATATAGTATACTTGAATTCACTTTCAACAATATTTTTTCTGCTACCAGGAAACAGCTTTGTGGGATACATGGGCAAACCACTAAACCGGATATAATAATTTTTACAAGGTTAGATTATTTCTTGTTACTGATAATATTATCGTTATGATAAGCGAATAATTTTAGCATGTTGACTATCAGTTTCAAGTGCCTACAGTAAATATAAGAATACGTAACAATGTAAATGTTAACTTGATATCATGTTTTTACATTTTAAAATAGTGCAGATCATAGGAAATGAAGTGCAAATAAAATTAGCTTTTTATATTTTGTTTAATTACATATGTTAACAGTATTTTTACATAGTCATTTATACATATAGTTAACTGTACCTATTTATCTAAACGTTAACTTTATCGTATTATTCGGTAACTGTGAAACATTAATACTTGGAATGATAATAAATATGCAAGATAGTAACATATGAATATCCTTCATACAAGAAATAACATAAGTACTTTGATTTTGTTATTCGCTTATTTAAATATTTTTATTACACATATTGCCAAGTAGTTTCGATATTTATGATTTTCGGTGCTATAGCATTCAGATGTTCTCTACAGTACATAGTATTGATAAGAGTAAATGTTTTTGAAAATACTATTTACTTTTTCAACGACAACAATGAATTGTTTTTGTCTCTGTTGAAATTTAATTAAAACAAATCGTATACTTGTTTTACGTTTAAAGTATAAAACTTATCGTATCCGTGAAATTCAAAATTTTCCGATAATATCAATTCTCGAGGCTTTATTTACAAAATTGATTTTACCGTATCCATTAATAATTAGTAAATTTAGAAATCATGAAATCGATATTTGTCATTTGACGCATTAACCAGTGTGTTAATTGCAATTTTGCCATTACAAAAAAGTGGAACACTTTGCGCAGGAGATCGAAATGTAACTTCAATTTTGATATAACTTCGATAAAAAATTTCAGAATACCGTTTCTCCAGCAAGCATACAATTTAAACTGTAAAAATATTCAACCATATTTTCTGTGGAACAGTTCGATGTATTATATACATATTGACAGCTTTATAACAATATAACAAGCTTTAACAATATGATTACAAACTAAAATAATGTACATTATGTATAACAGCGTTCATGAATTATCATGATTTAATCTGTACAAACGTACGGAGCTGCTCTGTTTAATATTTCACATTTCTCTGTGTGTATTAACATTTATTATGAAACTGTGATATACACTATGTACACAATGCTTTGTTTTCAAGTATCTATAAGAAAGGGCTAAATACAGAAGAGAATTTGGCAAATATTTATACAGCGAGGAGTAATCTTTCGATAAAATCGTGAACAGTGGCTCCTAAATGTACGCGAATCGTTACATTTCTTACATATTTACCAATTCCTCGTTCTCTTGCCTTTTGTACAGAGTATTTCAACAAATTTTATAAACATTTAACATATTATATTCCGCAATACTATTTAAGTTTCTTCTCTGTGCAAGTTTTTAATACTTCTTACTATCGGCGTTATTTCTTGTTCGTTTAATTTAAACACGTCGCTGGCGCGTCTGTGTAAATACAATTAAGTATATACTTTCAACAAAATTTTTATACTTAAATCATTAATACAATTCATTTAAATTACTCTACGTGGCAGTGATACAGAAAACTCAATTCTGACCATTTTTTTTTAAATAAATTAATTCTACAAACTTTGTGTCTATTTGTGTGTCTCTGGGCTTAATTTATATATCGAGAATTATCTATACAGAATTTTCAAGTAACATAAAAAAAATTATTCATTTTAAATTCATGTGTCATTGTTCTAAATAGTATACCAAACGTGTATGTTAGAAAGAGTTCGTCTATCTTTTTTCCAAAGTCCTACCGATTATGTAAAGACTATCTAATCTAATTCATTACTACTAATACTTGAAATACAATGCAAAAATCAATTTAGTAACGCATGCCTTGCACAACATTCAATTGAAATCAAAGAGACATAAAAATAAAATTTTTATTTTTATTTCTTTTTTATAAAAAAATATGTTATGTATCGTTAATAATTATAAAAATACACAAGAATAAGAAATAATTTCGATATTCTACTGCAACATAATACATTAAATCTTTACAATATATGCACAATTTTTCAACAAAGCTAAGATAAAAATATACATTCTTCTCCAGAAAAATAACATTTTGTTTAATGATATTTCACAAAGCTATGCAGCTATGTAGCTTAAGCTTTCTTAAAAAATATGATACAACCAGCCTTCTTTCATTATTCGATACGCTAAATTATAGGATTGTTTAGAAGTTTTACAGCAGCATTACAAGAATTAAACAGTTACTTTAAATACACGTTTTATGCGAATGTATTGTACATTTCTTTTTGTTTTAACATTAATATGCATATAACAGGTTTATTGAACACTCTGATTGGTTATAAAAAAAATCATACCGATAGACTTTTTTTTTTATTAGACTAGGTAATGACGTGATGCAATATACAGTCTTTTCAAGTAAATACCAATTCCAAGATTTCATTTTCTTTAGTCGTGTGTAAATATTGCATGAATTGTAAGGATTTATTTTCAAATATTTCTCTACAGTTACTTTTTTTTTATTACAAATTATATTCAATGATATTATACCAAGAATTTTGTTCTTAAGTATAACTTTGTATGTAATTAAACGCAATTCGTATAATTATATTAAATAAATATCGATTGAAATCGTGCATAAAATAAAATATCTACGAATCGAAAGACCTTAAGTCTATTGATATTTATAATTATGAAAAAACATTTGATACAAATAATTTTGAATTTGTTACAAGATTGACGCAATGTTAGCTAAAAACATTTTTCCACGTAGAAATTTATACAAAAACGCATCATCGTCTAAACATAACTTACAGGCAACTATATGCATACAGGCAGGCATAAAGATACATTATAGAAAATATGATTGTTACGAAAATTTACAAGATTTTTCTAAGTTTATTTTTATACTGTCTAAAAAGACAAGTCAGTCGTGTTGCATTCTGTTCACAGAGTATCCAATAGTTAAAGATATAATAAATTATATTTTTCATGAAAATATAAAACACGTTTTGATTAGTTTCTGTCATAGAACACAGAATTATAATTACTGTCCCTTGTACAATTATTAGCCGTTTTTTCTCACCCTTATACGCTTTAGATTTTGCAACAAAAATTTTAACACAAGCACGATATAATTAAATATTTTAATCATGAAGAAGTAATACCATTTAATTTAACAATGAATGTAATTTAGAGGGAAATAGAAATAAGTACATATTTTCGGTTTAAAAGTATTTATGTTTTAAATTATTCGAATACTAGATCGGTAACGACTAATGTTATTACGAGTTTTCTCCTTTTTTTTCTTTTAACAAAAGTCTACCGAGTCTCCTAATTATTAAACTCCGTAGAAAAATCATAAGTAAAAAGTTTGCAAAAACCATAAATCTATTCAATACATTAAAAGGCATGTTACAAAGACAATTAACAGAACAAGTTTAATATACATTTATATACATCCATCGAAGGAAATTATATATTGTTATTTTATTGTTCCCTTCCCCATTATATTTTTTTTTCTCTCAATTTTTTAATCTAATTACGGAGATCGGTATAGTAATGAGCCATTTCTGAAACAACTCTGAATACAAAAACCTTTGCTTCCAATCACAATATTTCCTTAAATGCTGTTTCAATGTTTCTCAGAAACTCCACTACATTTTGTGATTTAATTCTACAACGATCGAGTTATATACTGTTACATTGAAGTCTAAGGGAGGTGACTCTCCGAACCCATCTACGTTTTTTATATTTTTTTTTTATTAGGCAACGATCTTTATTATTTACTATTTTTAAAGTAATTTACAAAACATGAATTGGACAAACTGATACCAACATATCTTGATTACAGTGTTGATTGAAGATTCAGTTAGCTACATGGAGCAGACTTTGGTAATGCTGAATGATAAAGTAATTATGTAACCGTTATCCTTTTTTTCTCCCTCCCTCCCCCCCCCTTAGTCTTTCTACATAGAGTTAATGAAATAATACACAAAACATGTTACATAAATGCTTAATTGTAGGAAAAGCATAAACTACACACAACCGATTTAGCAGAACAATGTAGTCGTTCAGTATAGCCCACTACTATTTTTCTTGTTTTTTTTTTCTTTTCATTTCGTATTATAAACCTATTTTTAATAATTTAAACAGAGCTAACCTGAATAGATGAAGTCATTGATTCTGTTTCATTATGTGTTCTTAGATTAATAGGAGCTTCCATATTAGTATTATCTATATCGCCACCTAAGGCAAGACGTTCCCCTTCAATCAAAGAAACATTAGAGTCCCGATTGCCATCGATTTCCGTCGATTCACTATTCAACATTGAGGAACTACCTTTGATACTATCTTTCGAGGTCGCCTGTGATCCAAGTTTCTTCTCCTTTTCGGACGCACTGACATGAGGAATCTTAGTTACCTTACCATCCTTTTCCCGAGGCTTTTTCCCAAGTACTTGAAAATTCGTCATCTTTGAAGCAGTCTTTTGATCCTTCGATTGTCTCGTCGTGCCAACTCTGTTCGGTTCCGCGGTTTCTTCTTCTGTGATCGATACAAGATTACTCTTACCTTCACCCCCGGAATCTTCCTTTGTTACTTGAATCGGTATATCATCTGAACAAAAATGACAAAAAAAAAAAAATAATATAAAACCATGTTATTACAATAATTCGATAAAAGTATATATTAAAACACTGAAAATTAAAGCAAATCCATACATGCACTCGTTTACGAAAATAGACACATACAAAATATGTACAAGGAGTATACGCATAATAACTTGAGGATTCGCTATACACGGATCAGGCGTTCAGTGAAAATTAACAAATAAAATAAAGTATACGATGTTAAATATTCGTATTTGTGACCACTGAACCGGCAAGAATGACAAGAAAACAATTTTGTACAGATTTAATAAACAGAAAATACAATAAATTGCATATACTAATTTGTGCTTTTAAAAAAAGAAAAAAAATGAAATTCAAGCTAATAATAATAGAAAAAGAAACGTGAAGGGATTGAGGTAAACCTGAATTAGAACAAATTCGATATCTCCGATGCAAAGAAATGTGCCAAAAGCTCATGCAATTTCGAAATATGTGCACCTCAATATACATAATACATTAAACTTGTAATTTTACTGTTCTTAAATGACGGTGTCTCTGAAACGAGTTTATCAATAAATACACAAATTTGCTGATAATTAAACCGCTTAACGTTACATAGTGTAACAGCTAATCTGCCGTGTGTTTACTGAAGAAAGATGGGTGATCCTAAAGTGCTGAAACTGAACCACTAATACCATGTATTCGTTGACAAAGCAGCAGTTGTATGGTAACCGATTGATTTATTCCCCTCCAAATATAAATTTTCCATCGACTTGTTGATTATTTCTCCTAGAACTTGATCTTCCAGTACGCTGTACAAATGCGATCCAGTGCCGATTTTATTCTCATTGTAAGCTAAATCAGAGTTTTCTTTCCGCTCCTTTCTCGTTTGTAGATTCATCTTCGAACTGTGATCTTCGTTGTGTTTAGATGTATTTCTTCTCGAATATTCTTTGTTCCTTTTAGGGGAGGATTTATTAGGCGAGCTCTGAACACTGGACACACTTCCACGTTTGGAATTCTCCAACGAGGAAGAACTGACTTTTTTAATTATGACGTCTTCTTCGCTCGGGGCAATGATCGAATGCTTCGACTGCTCGGGAAACCACTTCGATCTCCTCGGTACTGTTGGTATTTGTTGACTCTCATGCAGAGTAGCGATGCTCGGTTCAGACGTGAATAACTTCTCGTCCAGATCGTCTAATGACACATGTTTGTAACCAATGCACATTTGCTGAATCCAGTAATTTTTTAAATGTGTTTGTAATTTTATAAAATGTTTTAATGCAATTCTGTTCCGTACGATCAAAACGCATATTCTCATAAACGAGAATAATTTCATACAAATAGGACTTTTGAACTATTAAAGATAACTAACAATTTTTATATATACTAAATTCTAGACATAAACCAACATATATTTACAAAGATGGGTTTTTCATGCAAAATGATTTGTATAATAGACACATAGTGTATTCATGCACGTTCGATTCTGTACACGCGAGTTCTCTGTATGCAGTATATTTATCTTAACATTTTATCGAAACAAAATCTTTCCATATGGAACTCTTGTCGATATTTATCTAACATTTTAGTGCATACTAACTGACAATTGCTACACAACATGATCACATTGATAACATGCTGGATAGTCATAATCTAACAAAAAACAAATTCTGTATACTGTGTGCAGAAGATACTACAAAACAGACATCAATGTAACACTTGGGCGCATTAATTTCATGAATTATTCTTAGACGATAATTATTAGAAGGCAATTTTTGATGCATGAAAGCGTACCTGGTAATTTTTTAGTTCGGAAGGAGGCATTTGTGATCATAGATTTAGATACCGTCGCGGTTGCGCTTGGTGATAACGCGACACTAATACCGATTGGTCCTTCGCTAAGGTGACCTGAAATTATTAAACAATTCTATGACACCTGACACTCCTTATTACTATCCATTACAGTAATTTGATCCAAATTTCACATACCTGACGGGCCAGAACTAGCGGAATTACGTATAGCATTTGTGACTAGCATAACATCTGGATACGCCTCGTAACATGCACGATTATGAATATCTTCTACTGCTTGATTTCCTACATTCCAACAGTCATTATACCTGCCGATACATATTACACTTTATTTACATAATTCAGTTAAATGTATTTATCGCTCAAGGGCATCGTTAATTTAAAACAAAAATGTCAGTGTTGTTATTTTTATTATACAGGACGAACTACCCAATTTTATCAACTTAATATTACTGTATAAAAATATTGCTTCTACTCTCGTAAAATAATTGATTAAACCCTAATGTATAAGTTACTATTAAAAGAGTGATATATTACACACATAGCAAAATATACAGCATGCAAGAATTCAAGGAGAAATTGACTGGACACAGGTATACGCGGTAAAAGTCTCGGGACAAAACTAGACTCGCTTCCGTATGAAGATCGTTGATGATGCCCAGGTTTCATAAATCCTTGAGTGACGAGCCTGTAACAATTCACGAAGTAAATTATTTTACCCTTACGAAATGTACGAAAACCGTAAATGTCGCCTTACTTGGTAGCAACTTTGCACAATTGTTCCAAAGCGAATTTACTTATGTAACCAAGCTGTTGATTGTAGATGAAGAGCAGAGCGGTCATAACTTTTAATCTGTTCTGCGCATTCAGCGTTTCTACTTGCTGCAACGGCCCCCAGCTGACCAATTTTGTATTGCACTCTTCGAATCTGCGTACTGCGCTCTCTGTCAAAGAAGCAGGCGCTAGACTCGCAGGCTATAGAATACAAGTAATAAATATTTTAAGAAAAATTCCAACAATGTTCGGCTAATGCTTGTTTTCGATAAAGAACGTACCTCGTGAAATATAGAAAGCATGGCAAGCGACGGTAATCTAAAAGAAATTGCTTTTTGTTGCCCAGATTTATCTACTATTTCCAGATTGTACAATCCGATCAATAATGTTTCTACAGATCGACAATTCTGTAAAAGAAGTTTATCACAAACTACGGAAAAGTTTAAAGGCTTAAAAACTAACGGTTATCGTAATTGATTATTTATTAAAATTAAAATTAAATGTATTTCTTTTCTTAAATTACTGATACGATGTTCATTGTGTAAAAATTATAGGCTATGCATTTGAACTTGATACACCTGCGCTATAATTAAGTAAATCGCATGATCACCGTTCCATATAATTAAATCTTAAATTACAGTCGATTAGTATTACATAATATTGGTTTACAAATTGTTTTTAATGGCACTACTTCATAAAACATTAATGACATTCGTATTTAATTGCGTCTTTTGTTCTTAATTACATAGTTTACCTTGATATCGCCGTGAGCTGCAGAATTTAAATAAATGTATACTAATGTTGGTAGAAACTGCAAGGTAAACCTTTGCAATTCTGTTTCCCGAGAGCGATAGAAATTATACAACTGATCACATACTGTATCCACCAACTATAACAAGAAATTATTAATACAATTGAATTAGATATAGTTAAGAAGTTATTTTACTAACAAGTCTAAAAAATATCAAGAAAGAAGTATATTTTATCCAATTTTCGTTCTGTTAAGGATAGAATTTGAATTGAATTTACTGACAAATGGTTGGAAAAGCAAGTTGAACAAAATTCAGAAACAACATATACATTTTAAATGCTATTTGTAAAGTATTTCAATTTATACTTGTTCATTTAAGCAGAAACAATAATGTGTGCCAATAACAAGCTACCTGACTATATTTGCCACGTTCTTCTAAGAGCACGTAAAGTGCTCTGACTATCTCGTTGTCTTGTAACAAAGTGGTAGCAAAAGTGTGGAGCTCTGAGAGCGAGACATCCGCACAGTCTGCCAGCCACTCATTTATTAAACTCTCCGTCATTTTTCACTTTTCTCTCGCCTGTGTCAATAAATCAGGATTTTGTTGACGAGAAATTTCGGCACCCAAAATAAACCATCTGATACTTTGACGATCATTACACCGATTTCAGTAATTGTTAGCTATTCAGAAACGACTTCTACGAACAATACATCGAGCACGCTTCATCGTTCTAAATTAATGTTTATTATTCGAATTTATGAAAAACTTAAATAAATTCGAGGATCGAGCGATTCACAGCCGACAATCGTGATAATACGGAATATCGTTAACATCGCTTTGCGTCACTATCACACGCGATTTCAGTGTTAAGTTCAAGTCCCCCGATCTTGATAACGATCACCTTTTTATCAATTGACGACAGCTAACGGAGTTCAAACTTATCCGGAATCATGCTGTAACGTCTCACAACTACCTCCGTGTCTTTCTAGAATGACACTCGAATAAATCTCGACTGTCGGACTCCCGACACTTGTAACTATCTAACTATCGTGATTGAATAAGTAGTACACATAGATAGGTATGTATCTACGGCAGATATAGGATGTATCAGAATTCTTGATTGGTCGAAATTAAATAGAGATAACAGGATTGAAACATGCTTTTTAAATGGTTGTATGATTAATTATATATCTCACGATGACTCTATTTCTGTATTGATTCCGTAATTACATAATCTCTGCGTATACTTTTTAGTTCAACGAAATAAAATTTTAGTAAATAAAACCATGTGATCGCGACAGGATCGAAACAACGAGGCGACGTGCCCCCGTATAGATACGGATTCGATAGAAGTTATGAAAGTTATTAATTTAGTATAGTAATTAAAATTCTGTAATAAAGTATATTAGGTATATAAAAATATTAAATAATGTAATATAAAATGTTTGTCAAATCACGTAGTTTCGTCACAGAGTAGCATATATTCTAATTTCCCTAGTCATACCTAATATTACCAAACGATTTACGCAGATTTATGCTCAGGGGAAACTGCTCCTCTACTTACGTACACTTACGTACACAGCCACGTTTATATATACGTGAACCAACAAAGATTTTCGTTTAGTCTTCTCCTCCATCGCGTTCAATCGTTTCGAATCCAGCTTCGTGCGAAACAATTCAACATGTGCTTCGAAAATTTTTTGTTAGCAACAGTAAGAACGATAGAAAGAATTTATTCGACTTGAAAGAGTGGAAACGTTATGGTACAATGTGATCGACAATTTTAATCGTGCTTAGGAAGTGATCAATAACATAAAAGCATAAACTCGTAAGTATTTTTCGTATTCCTTATAAATTTCTTAATCCAAAGACATCTTCAACGATCAATTATGATAATCGTACAGTACTGTCGTAATCGATTAATTCCTTTTATTTATTAAAGTTTGGAATATGTATTTTTTAACGATTTCTATTATTTCGTTTGATATAATAACATTAATTAGCGCGTAATCAGATTTTGTATATTTGCAAGATGGTGGTACCATGTGTTCGGGATTTTGACAAAAGAATGGATGTATCGGATCTATAGTCTGAATGTAAGTAACATTATTGTTTATCTATAATTAAAACTATAAATTACAATTTCGTAAATGATGAAACTTTCAACCGTTTACATGATAGTTATGATTATTTAATACATGCACTACCAACTGAATTGTTTCATACAAAGCGATTCATTATTGTATTATCAACTAAGATTTATTTTAGTTTTATCCATTACAGCTTTCGCAACAAAAAGAAACTACAAGAAATAGCCAAATTTAATTCATGGTTAGTATTACTTTCTTTTATGTACAGATATTATTATAGTATTCCAATGTATGATGATACTTTAACCACTAATTATGAACTAGTGATTATTCTTTACATGCACTACCAACTGAATTTTAAAACTCTGATAGAAAAATTCATGGAATTTTTAGAACATGTATATTCTCACATTAATATATTTTAGGTGACAAGATACCTCAACATGGCTGTAACATCTAATTTGTACTTTGTTGGAAGAAATAACCATATAAATGATAAATAACATTTTATAAACATTTGTACATGCTCTATACTGATCAAAAACTGGTCAGTTAAAATTATAGTTAAAAATAAAAATTTTAATATATTTACCATTTTACTATATATCATTTATAGAAATAATACTACCTTTAAAGAGGTTTATGAACTATATTTTTTAAAGGCAGATGATATGTAAAAATACATATATTATCTATATACAATATTTCATAATATCGGTGCAGCAATCAAGATATACATATATGATACATATGATTAACATTAAAACAGATGAAAGTGTGGAGAGAAATGATTCTCCCAAAATAAAATTTCAATTCATAAAAAAGGGAACTTATAGTGAATCGTTTTTATTTTATAACACGGTCACTATAAGTACATTGTACTTTCAGTTTATAGAGAATAATTCGGAAATGATCTAGTTCCCAATCGGATAAAAACTGTATAATTGTAAATTACACATCAAGCATGTACCAGAAGAACGTATAGTCGAAATGTATAGTTGCATTTTTTATCTTTCAAACATTTCAAGAAAAATAAATCGAAAAATCATGCAGCAAGTACGCAGTCTTTCCAGCCTGATCAGTCATTTTAAAATATACTTCATAAAAATTATACGCTACTTCTGTAAAAAAAAAAAAACGTTTATGTATAAATAATATGCAATGTAATTTGATTACATTGTTTTGTAGAAATTACTGCGTGTGTCTATAATTTGTATTTGTTTATCAATGTTTACTTTAAAAAACATAATTTATTTAAAATTTACCGAATGATCAAACTGGATTTTTTTATATACGAAAGTATATTTTTTTATAAACATATAACAATCAAAATTATACATCAAATAGATTTAACTTAGGTCACAGAATCCCATTCTATATGAAAAAATGCATTGGAGAATAATCTTTTTCTATAGTGGTAAATATGTGTAGGATACACAACAATTTTCTAACGATGTCAAATATTTGTAATATAATTCGTTTGATTTTAGTATCTTCATTTTTTTCTACTTCAACGTAAAACTCATTTAATCACATCTTCGTATAATTTATAGTACACTGCGTAAATTAACAATGACAGTTCGAAAGATCTATTTAATTTTAGAAAATACGAGAATTAAAATTCAAATATTAACGCAACTGTATGATCTTTACGCAGGACATAAATTTATAACGTAATACATAGTTTAAAAATATTGTATGTACCCATATTTACCTAAAACGTAATTTCCATACATACATTTTGTGTGTACGCGCGCGCGCGCATGACGCGTTCGTAACGCGTGCGTGCGTGTGTGTGTATGTTTATATTATTTGTATACCCATAAGTATACAGAAATCTTCAAGGCACTCCAGATATATATTACATTCATATTTTACAAATTCTGTTCTTCAGTTTTTCGCACTTGAGGCATCTTAAGATAGAAAGTAAAGTCGAATGAAAGCATTTCAACTAGTGCTTTTTCTATACCATGTCTCACTACAGTATAAGTTATACCGAGGAAACACTTTATACACATACATGTTACAGCAGCAATGATCAAGTCAGTAAAATTCCGATCTATTTACAATTACCTTATATCTCTTCGATCGTGTATTATAATTTTAAAAACTCGTAATAAATTCGTTTTAACAATGGTTCTGTCTTCGTCAAGTACAAAAAAATCAAGAAGCTGGAAACGAATTTACAGGCATTGTTGTCTAACAAACATAGCCTTTTCTTACATTAGTTTGTAATTTTAATTCGCGGCTGTACTTAGTACTTTCTAAATTGCATTAGCAAATATTCTGTATAAGGCGTTTCTCTGAAGTATTTTGTTACACCGACCAATTATCTGTTACAAATTGACTACAGGTAAACATATTTTCTCATTTTTTTTTCTTCATAACTCTTGAATTTTCACTAATGTAAAGTTCTCTAAAGTGGAGCGAAACTACACAAATACAATGTTCATGTACAGGTAAAACAATACCGTGGTACCGTTCAATGTCCCATTGTTCGCTGTAAATCTAAATGAATGTGCTTCAAACATTGATGTTACTTTTCATTATCAACGCATATTTTGAATATGTAAACATCAATATGAATTTATATGATTGTTAAATTTATCCAAAATATAGATTGACTTCCTGAATATTGCCTATAAGTTTGCTGCCTTCGTATTTCATATACCTTTGGCTTCTCGCTTTAGTAATAGCAAGTTTCACAAGCCTTCGTAATTCGCACTTAAATACAATATGTTACAGAAACACTTATTTATAAGAATGCATGTACATCACCATTGCTTACCTAACAACGTTTAGGATAATGTACACAAAGAAGACATGTACAAGTTCTTTTAGCTGGTTAATAGTTTTGATACAATGTCTCAACATTAAACACAAACCTCAGTCAGTTTTCGGCTCGCATAGCTGTTTTAAGGACTTTAGTTCCTCTATTAACGTCTGATTTCTATTTTCCAATATTGCAACACGATTTTCTAAACACTTTATATATTCCTTCTTTTTCCTTCTACACTCGCGCGCCGCTTCTCTATAAAAAGAAAGTATTTACATAATTTTCAAATTAAAATAATCAAAGCAATGAAATGAAAAACTTCGTCATGAGTAACTGAAACATTGGAGAAAATTTTTATCTTATTTCGAGCTTACCTATTTTTAAGCAACCTTAATTCTCTTTTTCTAGCCGCATCTTCTACTACAACACCGTGTCCTGTATAAGCTGGAACATTGCCAGAGACTGTACTCTCTAAATTTGTATCTTCCTTGCTTATAATTAATTAGTAAAGCTTAGCTTATTAATCAGTTTAACAAATTATTTTAAAATGTAGCACGTAATTGGTAAAAAAAAAAAAAACTTATAGTTAGAAATGGGTTTTCGATATTATTAAAACAGATTCGATTATGCATCATATATTTAATCAATAACAACACATTTAACTGAGAAATATAACACCGAAGAAATATGAAAAAGCGCGCACCTGGGACAAAAAACTGTGTATCTTGACCTTGCGCATACTGTACTATAGCGCCGCCTGCTGTTGCTGCATTACTCATTGTTAGCGTATGGAGCCCTGGAACACCCTCCGCTTGAGTTGCAATTTGTATGGTTCCAGCAGGAATTACTGCAAAGTACATTAGCTTCAACTATCAACTAATTATAAAACTCAATTATACATAATTGATTAAAAAAAAAAAAAAAAAATGTGAGCCTACTCAAGGGTTTTTAAATAACATAAATACAAATACCGATAACGATATTTTAACAATCATACAATGAATCCTCGGGTTACATGGATTCACAAACATGCAATTGCGTTCCCATGTATGTCATATATTTTTCACACGCATGTGTGTCTTTACATATCAAACAAAGCGTTCTGTTCTTCAATATTTCTTTACATAAAGTAAATATGGTACTATATCTTGAATTACCTTCAAGTGGAAAACTTTGGAACAAATTGACCACATAAGTAGAGGACTTACTGTACTTTGTTACACAATTCTGAATATGTAACGGAATTTAGAACCCCGTAAGCGAGGATGCCACACCAAGCAAATGATACAAAATGTCACGTTAAGCGGTACACACATATATAAAAGAAAATGCTTTAATCCGATGGTTCTAATTTACTCCTTGAACATCGTTTATTATTTAAATCAAAGGACAAAGGTTGGGATATGCATAGAATCGAATGATATTTAGGACAGTCAGGAAAGATACGTAGAAGAAAAAATAACCAACCTGTCTGATAATGAAGCGAGTGGGAAGACACTTCACTGTCCACGTTAGAATCACACTCAGAAGATGATTCTAGGGGGGGCAATCGACCGTCTGTAACACCGAATCAGTATAACCCCCCATTATAATAAAGTTGTTATCGGTGTTAATTTAATCCAGTCTAAATGAACTCAAACAATTCCCAGTAACATGAATATTATAGAATATTCGTACAAATAAATCTGTTACAATACCAATTTATGGAAGCAATAGCACTACAATAATGCAACTAATATTTCTTCTGAAATAGCTTTCCTGATTGCATAAAAGTACATAAATACATTTTTCGTTACGAAACAAGAAATCTGTATCCAAAAAGTAAAATTATATATGTATAATTAAAAAAACATAAGAATAGAAATAAAACTTATATGCTATTTCCTTTTTGGCTGTTGTACATATATAAATATATTTAAGTATATAAATATATATATTCCAATGCTGTGCAGTCAGCTCATACAAAAAGGAAATAGACAGAGTGTTAGTGTTAAAATTAATAGCGAATGACAATTAAATAGCATGAAAAAGCAAATGAATTTATAATAATTATGTATTCGTAATAGAAACGGAATAATACAAATTAAGTTGAAATTAATAAATACAAATGAATACTGTTATTACTTTTTAATTATATTCTCTATCTTGATCAATCGATTTTTAAAATTATAATTTAAAACAACTCTACAAACGAAGAATAATAGAAGCTTCAAAATTAGAATTATTGATATAGCTTGTTATTATTACAATGAAAGTAATAAGATAATTATTTTGTTATCATAAATGCATGTGGGATTTTATTTACTCGAATAAAAAACAAGTTATTCCTTTTTTCTAATACAATGTATGCACACACAGGTAGCAGTTGGAGGAGAGTTCACTGTCTTTGATATTTTATGATCGATAAATTAAATTTTTATCACGATAACCCACACTTTAAGCTTGGTATGGCATTCCTTCTTTTTACATACATAGAATAATATATTAAAAAATATATAATATCACACTCATACTCCTTATAACTTTAAAAAAAGTCAAGTATGTTTAAATATTTGCATTATAAAAGGCAGTTTACAAAATAGATATTTACATTTATTTACTCGAATAGAAAATAACGTTAACCAATGAAAGACGATGTTTGATATAATAATTACATAAAAAAATATGCTTAAAATAATAGTAATTGTATGAACTGACATGCACATTATTATTTCTATGGTTTGTAATATTGTTTAAGTAACAAAACGTTTATGTGTAAGTTTGCAAATTTATGCAAACTGATATTAGACGATCGTACAATTTACAAGAGTTTCTAATCCTCAAGAGCAAGAACAATTTGGAGGTAGTACAAAATTTTAATTTCGTTCTTAATTCTTATAAAAAGGTTCAAGACCTTTTGATTTATAGAATGTTTAAATAGATTAAAAATCGTCATACCTGTAATTTCACCACCACCCAACTCATTGAGGATTTTTTTATAAGACGGTCGTCTGGTAAGAATACCTCCTCTTTGTTCTGGAGATTCTTCGGAGTCCGAAAAACTATCATCGCTACCGGTCTCGACCACCTATAACATTGATATCATCATTAAAGAAAGATCTATATATTCGATCGATATTCTTACGAGAAAATATGGATAACGTAAATAAAACATTGAGTACACAATTCGATCTTAAAATATATTTATAATCTGCCATTCGGTATATTAAAAACCAGAATAAATTACCTGAAGCGTCTGCAAACTCGCTTGAGCTGTTTGGATAACAGAGTTGGGTTTACTAACAAGAATGACGTTTCCTTTTGAAATAGCAACAGGCTGAATATTTGTCGCAGTTTGAATTACTGATTGTTGATTAGGTTGTATAACAGATTGTACCTAAATCGACAAACAAAAATCATGAAATTAAACGTGTGCAAGAAGCTCGTTATTGAATGTATAAATTTGAATACTATTTAAAATGTTTAAATATGAATTGAAATGTAATGACGTATATAATTCTCTAATATTATCATGCATATGCAAGTTACTATGAGGTAATTATGATGTAATATGTTTATTGAAAAGATATAATGTATAATACATATTAGATTCATAGTCCTAATAAATTAACGAACAAATAAATTTCAATCGATTAATCGACAAAATAAAATTCGAATTTTAGTTTTCAAAAAGAACCAGCATTATGCAAGATTTAATATGTACACGAGTGCTCTTTGATTAAACGATTAACCTTATATTTATAATTAAAGCATAAATAAATTATTGTATGCATGCTTTAGAAACAAAAGATGTAAATAAATGATCAGACATAGATACACAGGAGTTTCTCCTGTATACCTGTGTTGTCCCTGACGAAGGTAGTGTCAGTTGCACAATGCTGGTAGAAGCTACCAGATGATGAGTTTGCTGCTGATGTGTTCTATTGAGAGATTGTACCGATGTAGCTATTGCTGGCGATGTATCACCACCTTGAGAACCTGTAGACAATGGGTCAACAGCTGATCCATTTTCCTCGACCATACTTTCCATAGCCTGGGAACCTCAAACCCTGCGAAAAAAATATAGTTTTATGAATTTATACAGTTTCTGTAACTTTACTTTATCTCTTATATTCTTCCATTTTTATTATACGTTCATTTATAATAGAAAACTACTTTTGTTAAATACATTAAGCGAAGAAACATCTTACCGAATACACTATTTGGCATTACTTAAATGTTGATCATTAACATTACACAAATCACTGAAACACTGTTTATACTTTAGTTTATACTTTTAATTATTTTAAATCTAATAGTTTTAATAGATCAAAGTACTTGACGAAAAAAATGGCCTGTATGAAGATGCATACGATTCTTGATTTAAGAAAATTGAATATACGCATAGTTGAAATTTCATAAATCAACCTCCAACAAAAGATAAACATCGTCGGTGAAAGCGAGGCTGGAGAATTGAAAAATTTACCTACTCGAAATTAGGACTATCCATTAAACTGTAAAAAATTTTAAATTTCCCGCCAGTCGGCGATCGGCGGTGCTACTGCGTCATTTACATAAGCAGATCTAAAAATAATACGAGAACAATAAACACTTAAGATGCTTTGGTGCGTAATCGAAGGGCCAGAAGTTATAAAAAGGGTAAACACGATTAAATGTGACTGAGATTATACCGATCGGTATCACGGAGTGTCGGTTAGCTATGGAAAGAGATGTCAGAATCATCACGTAACCCCCATTGCCCTTTTCGAGAAATTTGTACATCTTTCTTAAGGCGCCATATTTTACGGCATATTCCATAGTACACGTAAAACTGTCCGTGCTGGTATCACGAAATCAAATGCTCGTAGTTTCGGCAGCATTTTGGATGTACCGTAAGTGCAGTGGTCCATGCCCGGTTGTTATTATTCTCCAGCTGGGTACTTACCAGTTACGTATTTCTCGTCACCAACTTTGCTGCAATCGGAGTGGGCAAACGGGCAGGTACGTAGCAGCCACGTCAAAACTCCAGTGGCTTCGTCACTGGTGGAGCCCACGACCTCCGCGCTGCGCGTCACGAACAAAATGGCCGACGGTTTCCCTCCACCCTCTCGTAAACTGATCGTGCATCGGATAGTGATGGGACCGATACCCTCGTGCGCGACCGATACTGATTCCGTTTTCCTGAAAATTCACTCTGAAATAAATCCAAACACGTATCAATTCATTCTGCTAATAATAATTCGTAATAACACGATTGCATTCGACCAGTTAAACATACTAAAATCCCGGTTGCTACGTACATATTAACATCCTACGCAATTGCAAGAGAACGACTGTCTCTCGATTCGACAATTATATTTCCAACCGAACCATTAAACCAACTTATATTCGCTTTATTTATTCGACTCGACTTGCTATAATAATAGGTAATATATAAATATATGTATAGTCGTCGTTTTCCGTAAGTAATTTCGAATGAATTAAATATTATAATTGTTCGAGTATGTAATGCAACCCAGATAAAGTTTTCATGTTCACCAGTTATTTACGAAGAATTGTTGACAATCAGAATTAATTATTTACTATCAATTAATGACATTCGTAGTTGATATTTATACGTTTACAAGATCATCGTATTTATGTGACTTTCCCACACTGAAGTAGGAAGAGTTCAAGTGATAATGTATTTCACGCAAAGAATTAGAAAAACATCACACGTTCCCTTGATTATACGAATTATAAAAGGACTGTATTGTTCAACGGTTGCGCAATTTTATGCAAATATACTTTCATACGTATATTAATATTTATAAATTACAATTCAATTCTCTCATTACCGTTATCTTTTGAGATCACTTTGATTATTTGGCACTTTACATTTTTATTTTTTTATTTTTACTCTTTCGATATCCAATCTGTGTTACTATGGGATTATACCATACGTGATTTAATTACAGATTAGATTCGTAAAGAAAAACATAGAAATGAATATTGCACAAGATTTGGGTAATCATCGTTCAAATAACCTTTGGTCTATTCCACTCTTACTGTTGCACGCGAAGTTTAACATTTTAATAAATTTTTCGAAACGGTTATATTATATATTAAAAATTGATTTGTGATATTAACGAGCTTATGCAATTATATAAAACCGACAGTCGATAATATTACTGTACTTGAACAAAATTTATACGTATATCGTTCAAATAAGAAATTGTGGAGGAAAATGGAATAATGGGACAGTCTTAAATAACGCTGAAAGTGAATTTTGCCTTACATTCTTCGTTTTCAAATAACGATTTACATATTAGTTAACATATGCAAAAACCAGATAATACAAATATACGTACATACTGTGCATAACAGTATTCGCGCATACATATAATTATGTGATAGCTTAAAGAAACGCGAGTGGTGCTGACGTCATTCAGTGACGTCATTGTCATATTTATAGGGATGCACATACATATGTTTCACATAATGTACACCCTATGACACGGATTCGTGCCGAGCGAGGGGGAAAGTCAACAAATTTCACTTTTCCTTCCCCTTTTCGCGATAATGTTTCTAGATACTGTTATCGCGCGGTCGAAACGTCAAATGACGTTATTTAAGCTTTATAATACGAAAATATTTGTTACATGTATTACATTACGTGTTTAATAAATAATAGCTTAAGTACTTGAATTAATAATTTAGTTATAAAGAAGATCAGTAGTAAAATAGTAGCACAGTTTATACAGTTGGTCCAGTCCACGTCGACTTCTTAAATTCAATTTAACATACTAAAATAAATTAACATTTTGTATCGATACGTTAATTCGAAATCAACACGTGTGTCTACAATTCTGTATTAGAATTTCTTATTTTTAGATTCTGTAATTCTCATGGCAATTCTATTGTCCTTATATCTTATTCTTGGTTGTATTGTTAATGGTCACAAAAATTGGGGGAGTGGGCCAACTGTATAAACTGTGATAGCAGTAATCTCTTCAGATGGAGCCACCAATTTCTGGAAACTGACTCAGCATGACCAGATAGGTCATCTTTTTTGCACATTCGTCAAAAATAACGTATTAAATTGATTAAAAACGGGTACCGTATAAGCTCGTATCTGCTCGTTTACTTAATTCACAAAAGCTCTAAGGGAAAGAAGAATGTTGAAATTGAACACATGAGACTTGAAATAGTCTTATAATAGGCTAAGCACATCATTATTTCCCAGTACGCGTGATTAGATAAAGGTGGCTCATTTGATCAAACTAAACGGATTCGACTGATGAGAAAAGGCTAAATCTAAGACTCTGCTTAATGATCAAAGTCTGGCCTTATCATAGTTTTATAATTCTGTAAAATGAAAATTTGTTCACCAAACGATTAATCTTTCATTGCAGGTAATATCAAGGGGCGTATTCGTATATTTTAAAAAGCAGATACGTTAACTGTAAATTATATATATATATACAATCTTATATAATTTTATAATAAGGAAATAAAATATGTTTCTCGTCTATCCTTGAAAAACTGTATTATCTTTAGATAATACAAATTACTTACAATACTACGAATTAACGTGAAAACTAAAATATTGCTTGAATGGTCCTTTTACTTATAATTACGATGTATATTTGATCAAACATTGCTTATATAAGGAAAAAAACTACATCTACGTTTACTGTTTCATTCTTGAATCATAAACTGAATAAATTTACCTAATAAAATTCATTGAAAATATATGACAACATAAATAATTACAACAAATGCGGTGCAGAACTCGAAAATATTGTGTCATGATTAAATTGCATGAATAATAATTCACATATAAATCATAAACTGATAAAATGAATCAGTCGTTCTGTAGTCCATTTCGTTACAATTTTACTTTGTCATTAGCTATAATTTCTAATCTTTTAACGACTTTTCCAAGATCAATATCTTTCTGCAATTTCAAGTAATCCACTTTTCGCACGTTATGTATACTAGTCCACGTGGGTAGTAATTTACATAACAAACGTATAAGTTCTTCTAATTCATTCGGCGTTAATTTCGCTTTAAACGAGTTCTCCAACTTTCCGATCACAAATTCCATTGTAAGGACTCCCTTTTTCTCGGCTACAAAAATGTTACGTAGAATCTTCGCTAATTCTGGTAGCCTTGAATACATTGAAGCTTGTTTATCAGCATCCGGTGTACGGGTCATTGCTTCTAATGCTTTGGCAGCTTGCTTGGCACGAACCTAATGAATAACATATTGTTAAGGAACGGTAATAAAAAAAACATCAGGTACAGAGTATGATTCTTGTATGAAGATATTTACTTTTTCAAGAAGGGCCTTCGGAATGCCTTTAAATGCCATATTAAGATAACTATTTCCCGTGGTTGGCGTAGCGGGTGGTGTATCGACAACAGTGATATTAACTTTCTGCATATTATCTTCAGTTTGGGTTGAACGGTTTTGATCATTCTTCTCTGGAGATTGAGATTTTGAAGTTAGTTTCGCTTCTGCCAATCTCTGTAAAGCTTTCTCCATGCGCGTGCCGCAACTGAACATTGACTTTGCTTTGTCTAAAAACGTTTATTTATTATCGATCAGAAATAGCTGGAAAATATTAAAAATTAGTTTGTATATATACAAGAAAATATTTACCAAGTACGTCTTTCGCAGTTGTTAATTTTTCTACATTAGGTGGCTGTGGCAAATCGGCTGGCTCAATTGGTTTGCAACTTTCAACGTCGAACTCGGGATGCCAACGTAGAATTTTTTCTTTTGGTACGCGCATTGGTGTTTCTAAACTGAGTAAGAATTTTTCGTGCTCATCTTTAACCATGTCTGTAATAAAAAAAAAGAAACAGTGTCTTTATAGATTGTAACAAATAAAGAGACTACAATTATTAGAATTTATCGTGGAACAACATTATTACCAAGTAAAATGTTGTAAAACTTCCTTTGCCTATCCAGTAACACTCGCGGGCCCATACTCGTTTCCGATGCCGTTTTCAAAATGTTATCTGCATCCGGTGTATTTCTCCCATCTTTCTCTTCAACAATGGGTGTAAGAATTAGTTCATACTTATCCTGTTTAGATGTAGAACCAAACGTCCGATGCTTCTCTTGATGGTAAATGTAAGCATCTGGGAAAATAGTTTTAATTTGTGCAAGATGTTGCAGCGTGAAATTTTTACGCAACAATTCTTGAACAGAGGGTTTTAACTTCTTGAAAGTTATCACTTCTTTACGATTGAAGAGCATCGCGCAAACCTGTGAAACCATTTAAATTTTATGTAAAAAAAAAATGACAAAATATACGCAATGAAGTATCCATGCTAGTTTTTTATAATATAGTACCGTATCCACGCATCTAAATGCTTCTGCCAAGATTCTATAATTATAAGGCAATGGCAGAGCAACAGTGCTGCTTCCAGCCAATGACAGATACTGTTGATAAGCTGGTGCTTTAATCGGGCTACCCTTTACTGGACTTGGAGTAGTCTCCTTAGGTTCGAATAAAATTCGACGTTGAGGACTGGCTAACAACAACTCTTTGTTTTTCACAGGACTTAATATCTTTTTGCTTGGAGATTTATATGCTTTTTTCGGACTGTAAAAGATTAGAAAAATATTAGAAACACGAATAATCCAAATATAACGGTTTAAATTGCCTTCATATTATAAGCATTTCACCTAAGTGGTATTTCAAGTTCAATTTTCTCAAACTTCTGTATCTGTGGTTTTTTAATGTTATCTTGTTTCTGTAATTTCTCCAGTTTTTGTTCGCAATTCCTGAAGCGTGCGATAGAAGCTTTCAGTTCATTAAGACGGGACGATTTATTGATTCTATTTTTAATTTCATTTAAAGACAGATCTTGCTGTGCCAATTTGTCCATAGTTGAGCTCTTTTTCGGTGTAGTGGAATTAACTGCAGATCGACTGTTCAAAATGTTTACAGACGAATTCTCCACAGAAGCATTGTTCTTTTTTGGCGTTCCTGGCAGTTTCTTTTTCGGACTTAACGAACCTTTCTTCTTGAAAAGTACTTTGTTTCCCTCCAAATTCTCTGCGATCTTATGGAAGCTGTCCCGAATGTCTGTTTGCCCCTCTTGTTGTGACAATTTTTGTGTGCACGTAGCGCGAATTCTTGCATTACTTCTAGACGTTTTTTGAGCATTTCCTTTAGGAGAATCGAACTGAATGTTGCGAACAGCGGGGTTCGATTTCACAGCGCGATTATCTACCAGCTCTCTTGCCGGGACCAGAATGATTTTCGGACTCGTGCCCATTTTTTTTTCTTCCTGAATTGCGGTCAACGAGTCGGAATGCTCGGAATTATCGTCATTTCTCGTATTCCGAATTTGACTACTAACCAACCTAGATTGATCCCGTTCAATAAGTAATACCTTAGCCTTGCTCTTCAAATCATCGGTTGCTTGCCGTTTACGTGTATTGAAATACGCTGTTACTGATGGCTGAGACATGTTTTTTATATACTAATATATATACCTCATAGAAATCCGTTGTAATTTTCAAAATCTCGATTCTTTATTTACGGATTCCTGATCGCCGTGAACGACCCCGAGAACGATAATGCCGCACAAAAGCCCGCCTTTTTTATCAGTTTAGGCGCCAAGTCGGAAACAACAAAATCTGTAATGCGCGTGATTCAAATTTTCTGTCCAGTTCGTATTCTAATCAATTTTCCAATATCACGGTATACCTAAGTCTAATATTGTTTACATTTAAAAAGAAATGAAAGTTTTAATAATTCTGCAAATTGGTGCATATAAGATGAATCATTTGTATGGGAACAATCGATGACCAACCACGATTTTCTTCGAAATATAGGAAAACAGAAATTCGATTGGTTATCATGAATCGACGATACAATTGATATCTTAAAATTATTAAATTAAATACATCTTAACACGTGTTTTGTTTCTAAAAAATTTAATTATCGTCTTTGTAACAATTTATTTACTCGAGTAATCGAGTAATTCGATACGATCGGACAAAATCAAATTTCATAATTATTCGTAAATAAATAGTACAAAGTTCCAAGAACCGCTATAAACATTTAGCACTAGATTTTAAAAAGAATGCATAAGCAAGAAAATATCTTTCAATTATTCGCAATTTGTAAACATGACTTCACTTGATTTCAGATTTTCTTTTTTTTTTGCATAAATTTGGCACTTTATAATCATATTAACGTAACTATGCATAGAAATTAATTTTTATGAATAAAGACGTATAATTTGCGTTATTCGTATATATTCTAAGCATAATGCAGTTGTGTTTCGCAACTATTACAAAACGTCTTCTCAAATATAGTTACACACGTGGCGGTGTTTCAGATTTAAAAATGTTTCACATTATAAGATCAAATTTAAATTGGCTTACCACATAGTATTTAAAAATAGTTTTAAGCTAGAAGTGAAAATAGCTTGAAACAATGTTATTTCGTTAAAAACTTGTGTATTTTACAAAATTTTTGTAAATTTAACGAAACCTTGTGCAGTTGATATGTTTGTAACTAATTGACAATATTTAATACTAATATTTTTCCTACAACCCGTAAGTTTGTTATTACATTTTTTCTTACAACAGCAAGTTTATTAATTCAATTTCTTTAAAAATAAATCACATATAGTAAAAACTTTTTAGGTTATAAAATCTGCTTTATTTATAGCCGCTATTCGGATCTTAAAATCATGTTGTATATTAGTTCCCTTTTTCAGATTATAAATATTACTAAAAATATGAGATTATTTTTAAATAGGATACGCGTCATTAAAGAACAATTATTTTCACCAAAATATTTACTTTATACAAATGTAGCAATATCTATTTCTACGTCTGCTATGGGAGATATTCTAGAACAACATTACGAAATATTAAAGGTACACGGAGCTTTTGCAATTTGGCGAAAAGATCGCGGAATATATTGCGGATTTAATTTTCTATTATAAATTTTTTTTACTGTAGGGTGAGTGGAATAAATGGTGTTCGAATAGAACTAGGAATATGGCAGCATCCGGTATGTCTGTTGGTATAGTATGCCATTATTGGTATAAATATTTGGATGCCAAGGTACCGGGTCGTACGATTAATATTGTTTTAAAAAAAGTTATTATAGATCAATTAGTTTGTTCTCCGCTTTGCATAACAATGTTTTTTTTAACATTGAGCATCTTAGAAAAAGGTAGCTTGTCAGAATTAAAAGATGAAATTGTTAGGAAGGCGCATAAATTATATATAGCGGAATGGGTTGTCTGGCCACCTGCGCAAATTGTCAACTTCTATTTCCTGCCAACCAAGTATAGAGTTCTTTATGATAGTAGCATATCTCTTGGTTACGACATTTATACTAGCCAAGTGAAACATGATAATCCAAATTCTAGTATAAAAAATAGTAAACATTGATAAGCTTTGTTTCATTCAAATTTTAAAAACATTAAAAGGAAATATCGATTCCTGGTGATTGGGTAAAATATGTTATAAAATAAATCAAGAGATTATCATAAAACTACCTTATTTTATAATAGTAAATTGTATATAAAATATATATCATCGTGTACAAAAATAATTCAATTGTACTTGTTTTAAATTATTTATTTTCTTTATAAAAATTAATAACGAAATTAATAAAGAAAATAAAAACTAGATATACTTGTTTTGTCATTTGTTTTTATGAAACTGTCATAAAAGAATATTACAAACTTATGTGTCTATTATACGTAATATTTACATACTTATGCAAAGATATAGGAGATAATCTCCTATAGACGATCTATTTAAAACATTCCATCATGAATACCTATAGGTACTAGGACTGCAATAAATAATAACAAGTTACGAGCCACCAATCTCCAGTCATTTGGTACTGCATAAGGTGCCAGAATTTGGGTTAATCTATGTATCTGGCAGAGTAAATAAAAAATTTTTGTTACTATCACTCGGATTATACAAGCGTCTATTCCACTCGAAGTAAATAAAAATACTTACTTCGTGACTTGCACAAATGAAGATAAACGATGTGACTAAAAGATTTAATACTGGAAATCTTGGTAATAATACTAACACACCGTGTGAATCTGCTGCCAGCCAAATATGGCCTTGTGCGACTAGAGTTTCTAAACTGATTCGACCTAAACCAGCTAAGAGAGCTGAATGTTTACCGCGCAATGCTAACGATGCATTTCTAAGCGCAATATAACCTATAATCTGTAATGAGAAATTAGTTGCGTTTAATGTCGAAAAGTACAGTGGAGTTTGTAGATCATTACCGGTATAAAAGCCACGTATGAATGAATTTCTTCGCATTCCGATACCGAATGACATAGTATCGTGAAAGTAGTGTAAGCTGTTAGAGAAATTAATGCCAGGACAGAAGACAGCGCAATTCCTGGAATGTGATCTAACCTCTGTAAAGCTACAAGACCTGCTCCAAAGGTTACACCCCAAGTAACACTGTATCTATCCACCCTCCATCGTGACCACCATTCGCGTATGTCGTCGTCGGTCGTAACAAATAACGCTTTCCAAGGTCTTGTTACAAACACTTTCTCAAAGAAAACCTATTATATACGACCATACATTGAATGTTGTTGTTATAAAGGAATTTTATAAATTAGATAAATTATGAATTAATACCTCCGACATGTACAATATGGTAATCATTGACACAAGACCTAAAAGTTTCAAAGCTAGATAAAGTAAAGCTCTTGGTCCATATTCCGTTAAACTACCGGAATATATTCTTGGCGGTAGCCATGCTAGAAAGTAGATGACTAAAAACCAGAACGAGACCAATGGAACAAAATGATAAAATTGGTACGGTCTGTTCATACAAAGGCATAAAGTGACTGTTAGAAAATTTAATCTAAACATAACCTGAAAAATAACAAATACGTAATACCGTCGCGAATTAATTTAATATTTTAATGGTTTTTTTATATACGTACCCTAGCAAACCTCACTAGAGAAACATCGCCCGTTTGCCAGAAGTAACAAAAATGTCCATATCCGGAAAGGAACAGATACGCAGAGTTAATTAGTCTTAAGTACATATAAATAGGCAAAACATTTTTAGCTCCGGTAACATGGTATATTAGTACCACTGCTTGCATTAACCCTCTCCATTCGTCTGTTTGTTCTCGATTTAAAGTCCTTGGTCCTCTTTCTCTATCTTCGGTAAAAAATAATCCAAGAGCCAATATATATCCAAGCGGTAACCAAAAACTGAACTCGCTATAGTATTTATTTTCTTTCATAAAGAAATTCGTTCTAAACACAATACGAAAGCATTGTATAATAATTATTAACGATAACAGTTTTAAAGAATGCAATTTGAATGTACCTGTCGCATAAATAGAAATAAGCTAAGATAATGGATAAAAGAGCCAATGATGTCATCAGTGTATAAGAATCTTGTACTTCGGGTTGTTCAATCTGTACAACTTCGGAGGTATTTGCTTCTTCGGCATTTTCCTCGTCAACAGTGGTGACACGTAAATAAGATACGTCGGTTCGATGGTAACAAAACTTTTTGTATATCCACATTCCACCGCCAATAATTATACTGAAATGAGCTACTGTTTACTTTTTGCATAAAATATGATATTGTAATATGTAAACAATTACCATAGGGCAAGGCCAGATAAACTTAGCAGTTGTAAAGTTGTTGCTGGTTCTGGGTAACTACAACAGCTCCCATCGTCAAAGTTCATGTGATCGTTGCAGTAAGTGTTTAATAGTATTTGAACTTTATGTCGCAAGGATAAGGGACTAGCTAAGTATCCGTCCGGACTCTGTTCTAACACACCAGTACCAACAAGTTTACTACTTTCCCATAAATGAGCTTCGCTATGGGATAGTATCTGTATATCAATATACAAAAATAATTTACCTTTTCCTAAACAAATACCAGAATATGCATAAAATGAGGTTTACCTTGACTGCTGCTTTATTACATAAATTGATCTGTCTATTATCTATGCTTGCCAACTGAGCCGGTAGTCTTTCTTTTAGCACCGGGTCTTGCAGTACCCATAAAAATTGAGTGTTCTTTTTAGCCAAGAAATCTACCGGTTGCACTAGTCTCACTAGACTCATACTATATTCAGAATACAGTTGAGTGTCGCTGTTATTGTTTGCAAGAATTGTCATCGCTGCACTGCCTGCAATGATCAAGCTAGGTGCATCGCTTTTCTAGAAAACAACAGTCATTATTATCCGCATTTAATTTCCATTGAAACTTATATAATTAAATATGTTCGAACGTAGTCAGTGTACAAAATGTGTGTATAAGTTACCATCCAACTTCTTAGATTTTCGACCATAAAATTATTCAATCGTGGTCTCCACAAAAACTGTACGTTTAACCTTAGCTGGGCATCTTTGAAATTTAAATCAGAATTTTGTGGTAAATCTGCCAGATCTAATGTTTTACCATCGACTATAAACTGTGATATAAAAGATTTATATAGCTGCCTGATTCTGGCATCTCCGATGAATACAAAATGATTATGGTGGCCCATGAAAGCCAGATACCTCAAGCATCTGCGGCTGTCTCTGAATTAAAGAATATTTTTAGAAGAATATTATTTTCTATGCCAACAATATGGATAATGTCGGATTTAAATTCTTACGTTTGTGTATAATAATGCATCATACAACCGTAAGGCTGCCATTCTTTGTCTCCTTTATATCTACCTTCGGTTAATAACCATTTACAAGAATCACTGCCTAAAGAAATTAATTGCATTAATCTATATTACAAATCGACTGTTTGTACTTGAAAGGTAGTTAAATAATAAATGTTTTACCATAAATAAGATGCATGAATCCATGATATAGAATAAAACAAAGGACAAGTGCGGTAGCTAATTTTTTAGCACTTGCCACTGTAATTAAACTAATAAAATGTTCTGCTGAAGTCATGAATAACTTATTATTCGGTTACATTGATGCTAGAAAAAAAAATTTTGTTTTTAGTAACGATTTTCGCTTCACAATGGCACATAGTCAATTAATAAATATTGTAAAAACTATGTTACAAAAAACGAGAAGTAACGGTAGTAATTATGCATTGCTTAATATTGTACATTAATCGTATATCACTCTTACATAAATATAATCGTCCAAACGTTTATAAAATCCTTAAACCGCTGTTTGATAAATAATATTGCACTGTAAATAATGATGTAATTAACGCAGAAGTTTCACTGTTGTATTATAAACTGCAATATTATCGGCTAAAAAATTTTATCAAATAAGAACGGCTTGTAATTATTTTATGCAAAAATTAGTTTAAGCGCAGTTCGTAGTTCCAGCGTTCCCGGTCACTTCTATGACGTATTAATACAATAACAGAAAGTAGCATCTGCAATACAATCGATTTTTCAATTGGTTATTTAAGTAGCGACCGATGTAAATCAACGTTTTCAAAATTGCAAAAATTCCAGAGCCACGAGATAATTATGTTTCACTTTAATGACGACTTTTTATTTTCTCATTTCATTTCCAAGTTTAATATCGAAATGAAATAGCGGAGTAAAAGTGAAAATTAGTGTAACATTCTATCAGAAAATCTGTACGATTTAATTAGAAAAATATTAAATTCATTTCTAATGCAACCATCCATTTAAACGAGGATATCGAATTGAATTCCATAGATAAGAGTGTATTTCTTGTTTGATAATCATATCAATAATCAAGATTATAAAGTTATCGCTTTGGTAAGTTCGCATAAAGAATATGTATTGCGCAATAAATTTCGAATTATAAGAATGACCTTAATCTTGTAGAAACTTAGTTTTCTTTTATTACGGTGTTCTGGCACAAGGATGCATTTAACAATATGTAACAGAATAATGTTCAAATTTGTTTTCTGTAAATATCGAAAATAGGATTAGGTAACGAGGCAGTTTATTGAAGTCTATTTAAAATCCTGCTTTCAAAATGCACCAGATAATCTTCAGTGATTTTCTTCGATCTACATAAAAAGATAGCCAGACCAGAGTTGTACACGGAAAAGACTAAAAAATTTAAATTTTCGGCTGAATACAAATGATCGTATCTTATCTATGAAAGTACGATCTGTCATTTATACCGGTTGATAACATCGACTTTGCTACACAAACTTCGGTTTATTTGTAGAGGTCATTCCAGCTCAGGTGTATCGATAAACTTTCGTATTTGCACCTGTACAGATCAAAATAACTGCACACGTTCCGGGTGACCTGTACTGCCTGTACACTCCTAGTGATTCCTAGTGATTTTTTCCCTTAGACGGCAAGAATTAATATTCCCTATCTAATTCGTATTCTTTCTTTGTTTGCAATTAACAATATAAATACATTTGTTAACTTGCGATTTAATAAATATTCTGCAACTTCAGCAAATTACGAAAACAAGATACTTTTTAAGAAATAGATTTCTTTTATAAATCGATCGTTTATTTGTTTGCGAAGAGGGCGCCAAAATATGCAAGTAACTTCCAACAAGTACATTGCGGTATTTGGTCTCTAGCAATTTCTAGCATAAGTTCTGAAATAAGGTAGCATGTATGGTACGTGAATTTAGACGATACCGTAACATTTAGGTTAATCATAACAGAAGCATTAAACACGTTTTATTAATTCAACTTCGCTTGAATTTTCTAGTAATAATTTTTTCTTGATTCGATATAAAGTACCGTAAAATATGGTCGTGTTTACTTGTAACAATTGCGGCGAAACGTTACAAAAGCCGAAGGTTGCAAAACACTACGAATTTCAGTGCCATACCGCGCCTTTTTTAACGTGTATCGACTGTTTTAAAGATTTCCGGTAGGTATTAATAAATACGAAATAAATGTGACTAGTTCGTGTATAATTGCTTCATATATATATATTATTTGTCACGTTAAGAGGAGAGGAATACGTAGCTCACACAAAATGTATAACCGAGGCTCAACGATACGGAGGAAAAGACTACGTACCGAAAATCGGAGCAAACAAGGGCGAACGAAAGCAACAAGAATGGATTAATATTGTAAATAATATATTGAATAGCAAAACCATATTGTCAAATGCGGAACGAAGTTTTCTACAAATCCTATCGAAATTTGAGAATATTCCACGAAAGAAGGGAAAATTTTTGAACTTTGTACAAAATGCTTTGGGTCAAAAAATAAATTCAACGGTGGTTGAGAAGGTTTGGACTATAATGGAAACTGATTATAAAAACAATTCGCAAAATGTAACGAATAAACAGCGGCAGGAAAATGGTAAGAATAATTTGTTACTGCTACGTCATAAAAACAACCATTACTACGTAATATACTTTACATTTCATGCGTGAATAGGTAAAACGGATCATAAGGAAGATGATAAAAAAGATTTAACCGAAAATCAAGAAAACAATGCTATTGAAAATCAAAATAATGAAAATATATGTAAAGAGAATCTAACCGAAGATCAACAGAATGGAATTAATGAATCTAATAATGCTGATACAAATACTGTTAATAATCTTAATAAAAAGAAAAGAAAGTTATCTAAAACAGCAGGGAAACAAGTAGAAAAATCTAACTCCAAAAAGAAAAGTATAAATGCTTCTATGGAAGAACAAACAGAAAAATCAAGCCCGGCGAAAAAAAGTAAAAATACTGTGCTCTCTGAATCGTCGATTAATCAATGCGATGATACTATAGAAAAATTAACCTTTGACTGGAAAGGTACTATTTTAGATGTAGTTAAAAATAAAGGAGAAATTTCCTTAAAGAAATTGCAAAAGAAAGTCATTTCGCGATACATGGAGTTCTGTTCGAATACGGTAACGAATGAAAAAGCATCTGGTAAATTTAATAAAAAGCTAAAAAAAGTGCCAGAAATAATAATTTTGGATGAAAAAGTAAAACTAGCTTAATTTATAAATCATAAGTCGTTTAAGTATTACTGCCCCGATTTTTCGTAAAAAAAATACAATAAAAACTGTTATTTATAATGTCACTGTATGCAATTATTACCACAAGAACTAAGCATTACCTTCCATCGTGCACAGAAATGAAATAAAAGGAAATATTTTGCGAAAAATTTATTCTTTTTTTCCTTTTTAACAAAAAGGATTGGTAAAAATTTAACAATATTATGGAATATAAAATTAAGAATTCCATGAATATCTGTAAAATACAGAATGTAGTAATAACAACAAACGATACAACGCTAATCTACAGCGTAAATTTGTTGTATGGAACACACTTACCTAGGAACATTCAATTAAAAATAAAGTTTCGTACGGACTTATAAATAAAAGTTTTTAAACTATTCGTATCAATTATTATCCGGTATCAAATCTTTACAACATGGAAGATTTGTTTAGTATTCTCGCAGGAAGATTTTAAACGCTAATAATTATATTTAAAGACATATTTTATATTAGATATTTAAAAATTTATCTAAATACCAGGCATGATTACTCATAGTAGCTAGAAGACCCTGTGTAAGTATTTTGGAATCATTGGGCCCAAAAGTTATAATTTGTTGGTCAAACAATTGCGTGACTGTACCGCCGAGAGCAGTGAGAATTGCAGTGCCAGCACAAATATCCCATTTTTTTATTACTGTCATATGTACATATGCAGTTGCATTACCGCTTGCAACTTCTAAAAATTTATAACCTAAAAATGCATAAAGAAATATAAACCAATGGCAATGAAGAAAATATATAAAACGTAAAATTACCAACACTATTACCTGCCCCAGCTGCAGAAATTATTTCAACTCCTTTACCAAATACACTTTTGGTAACATTGTGAACTTGACCAGCGTGTGATTGCGATACAATTAAAATTGGTTGTCTGTCGTCTTCCTGCTGTTTTTTAAAAAATATTTAATACATGTATTTATATATTTTGTCGATTGTATTACCTTGTGTAGTCCCTGTAAATTTCGTGATACCACATGATCGGTCCATGTCCAAAACAGACTAGAATTTTGTTTTGTTTCGAATGGCTTATATATAACACCTATTATTGGCTTTCCTTTAATGGCGATACAAACCATAGTCGTAACGTATTGCAACAAATTTTCTGGATCAAACAGAAATCAATAAATAATAGATACTTTCTAAATTAGATTTAAAGCTTTAAGCGTATAATATGTACACACCTGTGAATTCTTTGGTAGCATCAAGAGGATCGATCCAAATTGTTATATCGTTAGTGTTCACAATTTCATCCTTAATATCGTAATCGACCAAGCTATCGACAGAGTCTCTTATGTCCGATACTGCAACTTTATCACAGTCTTTTGATGTTTCTTCAGATATTACAGTTATGCCTGGGAATGCTTCTACCAAAGAATGGTACATTGCGCAATGTGATCTATAATCTGCTTCTGTTACTGGATCATTTTCACCTATTAAGTTTAGAAATAAGATTCTAACATTATTGGCATTGTAATTACATTTATACTGTATCAGCATTATTTTGTTATCTATTGATATTTAAAATTAACTTAATTTATAGCGTTTGTAAACATTCTAACGATAGGGGAACAATTTATTACCTTCTTTTGTTTTTCCCTTACTCTCTACCTCAAACTTAACTTGCTCGTGGACTGCTATTACTTCGGAACCACCGAATTCAGCTGCCTTTATAGCAGCGTTAAGAAGTAACTTTAAAGAAACATTTCTGTCGCGTACATTTGTATACAGGGTTCGATTTGTATACAAGTACACTACGCTTAATAATATTGCGATCCCGCAACAAATTGTTCTTCTCATACGCACACTCATTCTGATATGCATTATAAAACACTACTCTACGTTGTCTCTAATAATACTTATTTCTTAAACTTTATTTTACATGCCCAAGCATTGTAATTGTTGGATAAGTAGCCATTTTTAATTTATTTGAATTTTCCAATGACATCGAACATTCGTACTTGTGCAGCAGACTCTCGGGCGTAAGAAACGTGCATCGGTTTTAATTTCGTGAATTTCAATATTCTTTTGTAAGTTTCGTACGTATCAATAATCACTCTATAAAACTGTTTCCCCAATCGATTACTTTCATTGAAATGTTACTCTATACGATTATTTTTATCTCTTCGAATACATTTTCCGACAGATCCTTGGACAGTTGGATAAGCTCCGTAAGTTAGGTTAGTTAACATCATGTACTGATAACTAACCTAACCTGTTTAAATCATAATTGAAATACAATGTAACTTGTTCAAACCGTATTTAATGTTATTTTCGTACGACTTTTATTTTAATTTATCAAATTATTGAAAAATAGCAAAATTCAGTTTTTATAAAATTTTGTGGAACCTTTTTTTTAAATTACCGTATTACCCGAAATTATAAGAATATTAAGCGAATGATTTGTTTTTTGTAACCGAAATTGCGTTTCTGAAAACGCTAGTAAATATAAATAGTTGTATTACTTTTTGTCATGGTTCTATTAAAGAACAAATTTTATTGATCAATAGTAATACAGATAAATGATTTTAATGACATTATGTGTGCCCCAATCTATAAGAGTAATTGAATGATAAAATGTATTTGTAACTAAATATTATATATTTCGATTATCTATACTTATATTTATACTTAATTTGGATTGCACGCCATGAGATCCGTTCAAAATAATTGCTTACCTTTTATTTAAAATAATGTTAAATAAGTGGGGTAACAAGTGAGATAACATTGTATATTTTTGGTGTTACGCTATTAATAGTGATTACTGCAATATATTAATCTGATATCATTGTACAGCGCACTTCCTACATAGACAATACAATGCTTTCATCGTGTATTAGCATGTTGCGTGCACCTTTTTTTCTTCGGCATTCGCGTTTTGTAATTTATGCTTTTTTTATTCAACTGCGGGATAATATATATCATTCTTAATAACATCGTAATAATTTATAACTGGATAACTCACGCATTTTACATTGCCTTTTTATTGCAATAATAATAAGCACTATGTTGCCTTTGCTTTTTTTTCCTAACTCATGCATCTAATTTGTTAATATGTGATAAAGTTACTTCATCAATTTCATCTATGAAATTTTAATAATTATTTTAAGTTACAGAAAATGTCATTCCACTTGGTCCAGCGATAACTGCACGATTAACAAATTGTTAATAATTTTTGCAGTTGCTGTTACACATTGTCATCTGTTAAAACACAAAAGACAAACGCTACACAATTCTATTCTTAAGTAAATGCATAAATGTCTATTAAGTAATTTGAGAATACTGTTATTATACCTAACAAAAGAAAAATGTGAAAAAAATATAATCATTCGATTTATATTGATTTTAACACTTACCATGATACCACCACTTTGTTTTCTTTGGGTTTTTGTTACATGTTTTCACATAAATTGCATTACCAGGTGGTCTCTCCTGCGATGGCACAATAATATTTATTATTATTTCATCAACAGGTATGATAAAATGTTTTTTTACCTTTGCTTGACAACTGCTTAACATCGATATAATACTTAAACAAACACTTTGCACACTCAGAGCTGGGGACCAATCGTCGGTCAGAATAGATAGGCAAATATGACCATTACTATAAACATGTGGATGAATTGGTATATTTGCACCTATGAAAGTTACTTCTGGTGAATCGAACGGGTACTTAGAACTAAATTTGAATTGCAGTTGAAATTGTTCTCCTTCATACAAAGTACCCTTTGCACCTTCCATATGAACGATCCATTGTGTTAAATTTTGTTCAGCAAGATCTTCGTCTACGCGTACACCTGGCGGAGGCTCACGTATTAAAGACATTAACTCCTTCTGCAATCTTCGCTGAAATAATATTTACACACGTCAAAATCATAAAACAACATGAAAGTACAATAAGAAGGTATAATTCAGAGTATTACGAAAGATCTTAATTATTATTATTTACCTAAGCGAATTATCATTTAAAAATAAAAAAACATCACAGACAGACGACGCGTTTACAAAGGAATATTGGATTAATTTTAGAAACATTAAATATAGTCAATAAAATTTCACTCGAACATTTGTTACCGAACAAAACACCATGACAACATCACAGAAATTAGGCTATTTTTTAAACAGATCAGGGGTTGCGCGTCGTATTTGACGTAAAATGTCATCCAAATTTGGACGAATAACACGCGAATGTATTTTCATTTCATCGATACAAAATGTAACATTTTTCATCGTCGTGGAATACGTTGAATGTTGAATATTTCGATTCGACATTCCATTGAATCGTAATAGAAAGGCACACACAGATTCGCGTATATTAAAGTGGCTTCGATATTAACTTACCTTTGACGGGGACATTGCCGCCATTGTCGTTATGTCGCTCTCCATTGAAAAATATAACCGCTATTCATTGCGATTTACATAACTTGTTTTGTTCGTTCTTTGATTCAAAAACGTTAAACTATTTGAATTATGGCGTTTTGCATTTTTTTCCCCTAAATTTCGTACTGTTCTGTCAGCGGAGAAAAGTGCGGTTACACGACAAACGCAAGTCGTATGCGGGACTCTACGTAAATCAGTCAAACTTGACAGCCGTGCCCATGAACTGGGGCGAGTATTCAATATACGACTATTAAGCCGGTTACACATGCTCCGGTCAATCTGACAGATATACCTGAACAGACAAGCCTGTAACTGTACGAACGTGTCTGATGAAACGATTTTAACCTTTCTAAACATACGTTTTCACATGGCAGTAAACTGTCGTGACAGTGTAGCGGGTTTTTGACTATTTGTATGCAGTTGAGTGTCACGAATGGTGTGGAATAAAGTAACTTCAGTATCTGTTTATATTATTTATAAAATGATAAAGTTTATTGCCAGAAAATAAAAATTGTCACATTACTGCCATAACAGCGATAAAAATCATGATATTCACGATGTTAAAACCATAAATTTTCAGTGTCATAACACTGGATTTGTTGTACAACTTCGACAGTAATGTTGCGATACCAAATCGTAAATAGGTTTGGTTTTCTAGTGACATTCTAGTACTAGTATCTATCTAGCAGATAATAATTTAAATTTATATATATACATTGTTCTTTATTTTTAATATTTTTGTACTTATCAATTCATTATTTAAATTTGTATTTTGTTTTAATGTGAATATGCTCGCTATTGCTGATGATCACCGAGGATTGAAAAGTAACCAAAGTAACTAGATAAATGGACGAATGAATACATTGAACTGCACGTTTTTGCGCGGGATTTCAGTAGATTAAAGTGTAGGGCAGAAATGAACAAAGTCAGGGTAATTAGAAATTGAGAACGCTGTTGTGATTTCTATTGCCATGAGAAAACGAGTGTTTGGTTTCCTGTCGCGAAGAGAAAGGGGTAGTCGATGTTAGTGGTTTTCTCCCCGATGTTTGTAGGATGCATTACGGTAAATTAAAATTCGATTTATTCGGCGTACCATGCGAGGATGTGGCCACCAGCCTTCCCAGGCTGATGACCCCATCCCCGCAGCTGCCCTTATCCACCACCTGGGGACGCGTCACTGTGGGATTATGCTTACTTGATGCACGTGGTTCGTTTCCACGTATGATGCGCGTGCGTTCGTAGGCCCACCCTGCTAGGTGTACAAGTCTTTGTCTAGCAACAGGAGTTTTACTCTTTATCTTTTTGAGGTGCTTCTTCGCGAAGTTCTTACCAAGCAGTGAGTTGAGCGTCCTTGCATTTTTGGGAGGACGCGCTTTCGCCCTGTTGCGCTGCGCGCGCAGCCTTACGGCGGATTCGCACTTGACGGGAAACTGCTCCCCTATACTCTTGTGCGGACGAGACCATAAGTCTCGACCCCACATCACGTAGGGGTTCACCTCCTCTGTCACCTGGATAACCAAACTTTCGAGAAAAAAAATTCGATTAGATGGACTTTACCGACAAAATTAAAATATTTCAAATCATTCTGAAAAAATTATTTTCAGTTGCGAGGGTCGATTACAATCATTTTTTATGAATACACATACCCTCGAAATCCTACGCATTTTCGAGAAAAAAATTCTTTTCCCGACAATACGATGTAAAAAAACCTGGCGGGAAAACGTCCAAGTTTGTCGTGAAATAGTTCGCTATCTTCGACGCTAGATGGCAGCAATTTTCCTACCTTTTAGCCGTTATGCTTAATTACGCTTTATTATTCCGATTCGATGTTTAAACAATTTCCGTTAAACGCATCCTAGCAATAAACAAAACGTTAACTCCAATTCTTCTAACCAAACCCTAAATTCTACCACAGACGAGGTATACCTCTGTGAGGCTGTGGATCACATCGATCACAGATCGCGTGACGTGTCTAAATTATTACGTTCTTGGCAAGCCATAACCCCTTGATTCAGATATAAGCACTGATCGAATATACCTGATCAATTTTAACCTAGGGAATCTTTTGTACTTTTAGTATAATACGTATTAAGACTGAAATTACGAGGTCCAGGTTGTCGTTAATAAAAACATGGAAGAAGAACTAACCTCTCTACCTCTGAAGTAAACGCGACATTATTAATCTATGTATTATAACCGTCATCTGGCGGTATGCGAGTCGAAATCAGTTTAATATCTTAATATCTTGGGTTCGCGAAACGGTTATTGGTTGCGGCTGCGATGAAGGTGGCCGGAGGTGGTGGAGAAACCGAAGGTCGTTGAATAGGTATCTCTCTGCCGGTAGTCGTAGCACCCTTCTTTTCTCCGGCACGAAAAGGCTCTTGAAATAAATTGAAAATGGCTGGTATCGCCCTGCTCTCGGATAAGTGATACCTACATCACCTACACGCATACCGGCCGCCACAGAATTCCGTGGTATTTTTTCACGTATTCGAAACGCGCATTCGAAGCGGCCCCGAATCTGTATGAATGGACGATCAATTAAAACGATGTTAAAACGTTATATCAATCGCGTACCCCCGTCGAAAATTGACCGTCGAAGGAGGAAAACTAAAAATTGGAATAGAAAGGGCGCTGGTTTTCGATGGCACTCGAAACGAAGCAGAGAATTAACGAATTTAATTCGTCAGATTTGGTTGACGCTCTAAAAGTACACAGTCTATTCTTTGCGTGAGTTTCTTTCCTACTATTGATGGGAAGCAGAAGACGAAGTAAGGACGACGCAAATAAAGACAAAATTGCGTTTTGATCTTTCAGAGAAATAAATTTAAGAACAACCCAGTACCTATATAGGTTAAGAAACCATTTCTACAAAGAATAAAACTGAAACATCGATAAAGTATTTAAATTTAAAACTTCAAGCTAATTGAGTTAGCAAAACGACGAGAAACTTTAGGGTTCTGAACTTTCAGGTTAGGTTAGTAGTTCTGTTTATCAAGTAAATTCAATCTGCCTTCGATTGTCTTCTTCGACAATTTAAATAATCATTGTCGACAAATGTACACGTATCTACGTCGAGAAGTAATCGTAGGCCGACGCGAGGGAACTTTTATTTCCATTCGTCGCGCGTGAACTGTCGTTTAACCTAACCTACAACCCGAAAGGTATTCTTTTCGCCGTTCGACACGACAAATTGGGAATTTGAATATCATCGATGGTTCTATTACGACAGATGGTCGGACTCATTATTCGGTGAAATCGAGCTCGTCGAAAATTTATGCACACCCTCGGGACCGCGTAGCGGTAAAATCATTTCCAAAATTCGCCGGTAACGCCGGTGCTGGTTAATTTTCGGTATGCACGCGTGCAATAATGCATCCGCGCGACCGAGCACATGCACGCGATCGCAAGCGGGTGTGAGAACGTAGCGCGCGCGTTTCACGGCGCTAACACAACCGTGGAAACATGTGTGTGCGGGGCACACGAACGGGAAAGGTGTATTGAATCGACGAGTATCATGCAGTTGACAGCTAGAGCTAATTGAATCTTGACTCTATCTATCTGTCGACTCGAGCTGAGACTCGACTACCGCCGCGAATTGCATTTCCGTTCGACAGAATCGTTCGCGCTCGAGAATTCTATCTTCCCCCTTAATCCCTCTTCGTTCGTGTTGCGTAGAAATATGCTAAAACGCCCGTGGCGCCAGATACTGTTCGAGTGGGCCGTGTTTGTCTTTAACCTCGCGTACCACGATGATCCCGATCGGTAAACCGAAGGAAAGAATTGTACTTGAATCTGTAACTTGGAGAAATTTTGCACGCGGGTCGAATATTAATTTTTATTCCGAAAAGTCTGTCAACTTAAACATTATCGCGCCCCGGTATCAGCTCGATGCTTTCCTCGACAAAAGGAGAAAGCTAATTTTAGTCAAAGACGTCGTTCGATGAAATACGATCGGAGTACAAAAGACTGAATATCTTTCGCCCGGGAGGGGGCGCTGAAGGGTGTGCAGAGGGTGCGAAACAGCGATGTTTTTGATTCGAAAGATACTCCCTTTTAGCGAGTATTTCTTTCCTCCTTGGCTCAAGTTCCAACTAATGCAAAATCTATGAGTAATAGCAAGTTTACTTCTTTGTTTTTTCTATTTAATTTGTTTGCTCGGGGAAAGAGACGATACAAAATGTTATAAAGAATCGAGAAAGAACGACAGTGTACAGCGGTTCGGAGAATCTCCTTTATTGGGAACGGAAATTTCTTTTCAACGTAAATTGAATGGAAGATTTCCGTGCTCGGCGGCATTCAACCGCGTGGCGGATCAATGGGGGCTCTCGATGAAATTTTAATTAGAAAAGAGCAAGATGTACAGGGGCGAAAGGTGCAACAGAACAATCAATCGGATCAAAGGCTGCCCCGAGTTACCGAAGCACAACTTTTGCAAAGTAAGAATATAAACATTGCGTTCACGAGGGTCGATCGATAAGGTGTCTCCAAAAAACCAACTTCCCAAATAAAATTCAATGATTTCGAAACCACCGTGAACTAATTCCATTAAATAACTCGGTCTCCGACTAGATAGTAAATTGAACCGGGAAAAAAACGCGCATCCAGGAAAAGTTCAAACGCTAAAAACGTAAAAGCTGCCTGAAGGTTTAGGTTCTGGCTCGCGTAAAAAATCTCTAAACCAAGTAGAGAAAATAAGCCGCTAACAAGTTAAATTACAATTAATTCTCTATGTACAAATATCGATAAAATGGAACTGTTCCGTACGAAACCAAAATACAAACTTCCAAAGGGACCGAAACGACTTATTTTCGTCCCACCTTGTACATATATTCTTTGCAACAGATATAATATCAAGAATCTGGAGTTTAACATCGTTGAACGGAAACGAGTCGATCCTCTCGTAAACAAAGATGGCGCGAGTAAGAACGATAAACGCTGTGGGGGTGGGTTTTCCCCTAGGATTCTATAATTCGTACCATCTTTATCGTTAAATTCTGAAACATATAATTCGAAAGAACCAAGATACAGATACAGATCTGGCTCGCGTAAAAAATTTCTAAACCAAGTAGAGAAAATAAGCCGCTAACAAGTTAAATTACAATTAATTCTCTATGTACAAATATCGATAAAATGGAACTGTTCCGTACGAAACCAAAATACAAACTTCCAAAGGGACCGAAACGACTTATTTTTGTCCCACCTCGTACATACGTTCTTTGCAACAGATATAAT